TGATCATTGTAGCATGATTAATATTAGTGTTTATCAAGTCATACTATAGCAATGAAAGGACAAACAAAATGTTCATATTTTTGTAACCTCATCTTCTTTACTTAAGGAGGACAGTGAAATCTTACAACTTTAATTATATATCATATTTTCTGATAATATCATACCTCATATTGTTTTCCTTTCAAAGGGGTTTTTTTCTTTTTTTTTGGTAAAAATATTGATGATGTTACTTAAAATATGCACTCTGCTGTCATGATTTTCTTAACACACAATAATATTATCCTCTTTTCTAATTAGATTTTTTTTACAAAAAATGTATGATAAATATTTATTATATGGCCAGTCAAAATTATTCTCTTGCAAAACTAAGTTTTGTTCCATACTCCATACTCTATTTAGTATTCTACAACTTATTAAAAAATTAAAAATGTATATATCCATATTAGAAACTCTAAGCTTTTATCTTCATGTGCTTTTACCCTAATTTCTTATCTTCTTTTTTTTTTTCTCACAAATCAATAGTTGCATTTTTCACTAACTCATTATAATGAAATTATCATTCATATATTTTAGTTTATCTTTATTAAATGTTTGTCTTCATTTGTATTTTTCCCTATGCTCCCGTTAATATTCCATAATGCAAGCCAAAAAGAATAGAATGGCCATAACAATAATATTATATATATAGATATATATGTATGTATGTATTGAAACAACGACAAAGAGAATGGCCAAAGTGCCAAACCGCCTGCATTTTGCATCTCTTATCTCCAATTTATAAAATAATAATAATAATAAAAAAAGTTAAATTATTTAATTAAACAAATATGACCGAATGGCCCAGACGGGGTCGTAATCACCAATTAGTTTGGTTTAATAATTGATAAATTAGCCAATGTATTCATTAATAAACTCTATTTATTTTTATGGAGATCAGAAAGTACAAATTGTACATAATCTTATTTCCTGCCACCCTTACATCATCTCCAAGGTGTTGGCCATTGACCTTTGTCACAAACATCATCATTGTATTTCCTAAAGCTTTAACGACTTTAGAAAATAAATAAAAAAAAGGAAGGTTTACATATATACCACCCAATTCCTATGTATTTACAAATCTAACATCTAAACTTTAATGCTTGCATGCATACCAAATTAGCCATGCATGAAAAGGTGTCCACACTTTTTTAAAGTTAAAATGGTGATATTTTTGAAGTGTATCAAAGGTTTTGGTGATATAAATGTCAAAACAAAATGTTTAGATGGTTGATATGTAAATACGCTGTAATAGTTATTCTTAATGATTTTGATGCCTAGGATTAGTAATCATAAATCATAATAGATGTCAATCTTATCATATAATATTTATGGGATCTTTGTTTTCATCATCTTTGTCTCATGTGAAGTTAGAAGAACAAAAATTGCGTATTGGAAATAATAAAAAAAATATTTTATTGTTCATTGTGAATGGAAGTCAACACTTATAATAATATTGAGATGAGATGGAAGGCAAATTATAAAAGTGGCCACCTTTCATTATTTAATCTCATTATTTAATCAAATATCAATACTTTTATCTTTCTTCAACATTAGTCTTAATAAACCTATTAAATTTAGTTCATTTCATTTTGAAGATTTGCATAGTTTATGCATTTAATCTATTTATTATATTTTTAATGTTGTTGTTCAACTTAGTATAATTAATACATGGACAATTTGGACAATGTCTTTTGGCTAGCTTATACAAGTTCCATTAAAAGGTTTACTTACATACACAACCTTCAATTCTTGTGCATTCATGTATCCCACACCAAAACTTTTGATTCATACAAACAAGGCTCCTTGCATGCGTGTTAATGTAGATTTCGGTGTTCCACATCGTTGAAATGTGTGAATAAGTTGTTGTGTTTGTAAAAATTAATTTTTTTGTGCGAGATACATAAATATATAAGAGTTAGGTGTTGTGCATCTAAATTGTCATTAAGTATAATTTAAAGCATAATTAAATTTTTTATTATAACATTTGAGGGATGAAATGATTTTAGAGTTTGACATGTTTACAGTCAAAATGATCAACTAAATGAGAAAACCTAAAATTAAATAAAGTTTAGATGGAAAAAACTTCAAAAAAACTAATTCAAGTTTGACATTGTTGATCATCACGATCAATAATTGTCGCTCGACTACCCTCACCTAGCTATAATCACTGTTAGTATCGTCATCAACTATCATCACATAACTATTATCATCTAATTATCATTGCTCAATTGTTGTTATCAAACTATCAATTTTTTTTGTTATTACATCATAATTAGCAACACTCTATATCATTATCTAATTATTATCACTTGATTGTCATCATCAAATTATCATCATTCAATATCATTATTTGTTGTTATGCCTAACTATATCACTAGATTGTTATTATCTATATGTCATCGTCCGACCACCGTTACCTTGCTTCTCCAACTTCACTATTTTACCTATAAAAGGTCTAACAAATATTCCATATTTTATCATTTATATGCTATAATATGATAAAAAAAAGTTGATTTCCTTAAATTTTACTCATATAATAAATAATTTTAACATGCTCAAATAGCAATTTTTTTTAGGTTTTCAAAATAAAAATTTGATATAATATTTGAGCTTTTTTTATTTGTGTTTGTGAAGAAGCTTCATAGAAAAAAAGGTTATACACTCTTTACTATCAAAAATATTATTACAGGTTATAATTTGATGTTATTTATGGGGGACCATCGTATCTTGTTAAAGTACATCATCTGTAATGACAATTAATCCCTCAATCAATAACTACATTATCCAACCAGCAAATGTCCCCCAGGCCCAATTTTAAAGTTATAATTTAGGATAGAAAGGTAAAGATAACTAAATTCCTTTAAGTTTTATAGAAATCTATCTGACAAATAGTTTCATCATGATATGATATAATTGGCCTCATTGTAAAACTAGTCATTTATAATAAAATTTAGTTCACTTAAAAATCAATCTTATACACAAAAAAGTAAAATAAGAAGCATTTATTTGTGATTTGAATTACAAAAGATTACTATCTTATATATAGAAATAAAATACATCTGCATGATATCAACATATTTCTTTCTACCATCGCTATAAAACATTTTAGTTGGCATGTTTCCCACATCAACTTTCATGTCAATAGAAGAGTCTTTAGATACTTTGCTACAAAATAAATCTTTAAGAGTGACTCTATTCTTACATTATGCTAAGATGAATCCATTAAAAAGGCATTAAAAAACAATTAGAAGATAGTAGAGAGGTGGCGACAAAATTTAGTACTTTTGAAAATGATGATTGGATAAGTAATGGTTGATGATTTTGATCATCTCAAAGCAAATGATGGCTCGGGAAGAAGATGCAGACGATCATGCATCGCCTTTGACGATTGTTTTTCCATATGAACATTGGCGAAGGAAGCACCCGGTCTTATATATGCAAGGGAGAACGATCAGTATAAAAAGCTAGAAGAAACTTCTGCAGGGCGGTAATCAGTTTTCAAGTCAATCAACGGGGAGCACTCTTTCGAACTATATACCGATCAAATCAAGGGTTATCGGCGATCGGCAACCCTCATCGATCAAATCGGCCCCCGATCATATTGTATGTAAATAACTTTGTAATTACTAAAAAAACCCCTGAAAAATTAATAATGAGGGGGCTAATATGTAATTTTGTAATATTAAGACATTGGTCTATAAATAGTGGTTCATGTCATAAATAAGACATTATATTTTTTGTGCTCTCTCTCCTAATCACTTTCTAGTAAATTGTTCCATTCCTTAGGTGAGTTTCCCGGAAACTTTTGGATTCAAAATTTTTTAAGATACAGCGAGTGTGGAAACATGTCATCAACAAGAAGAGAAGCACAACAACAACAACAAGGAGAGTCTAGTCAAAGGAACGAAGGAGTAACAACATGCACCCAAGAGTTTATGGAAGAATTTGTTCAACAAGATCTACAAGATTTGGGAACTTAGATCACCAACCAGATGTCAGAACAGTTCGCAGATGTTCTTAGGGGTTGCTGCCCTAGCAGCTGCCTCAGTCCTAGGAGAAGAGCCAGCAAGACAAGAAACACTCAACCCCCCTTAAGGGGAACCGTTAGCCAACAATGAAAGGAGGGTGATCCACCAACACGAAAAGCCCGACAACAGTCTATAACACGCTAGAATCTGATCTGCCCCTGTGAAGGAGAGGAACCAACTAGTGCGGACTGAGGTATAAAGGTAGCCGAAAAATGCCTTCTCCCTATAGGTTTCCAGAGTTGAATCCCCTAATAAGTTCAAGGTGCCAGACTTAGAGACACATAAAAGATGAAAGAACCCCAAAGACCACCTGGCATCGTTTGAATCGTCCCTATGCCTGTTGAAAATTTATGATGCCCTCAAGTGTAAGCTCTTCTTCACGATGTTGAGATCAATCTCATTAAGTTTGTTCAACGGATTGCCCGCAAGGGCAATTGTGGAGTTCAAAAGGCGAGACAAGGCTCCCGACGGAGGAGCGACTGATGGGCCCATCGACACCAATGCCATTCACATTGTGGGGTACATGCCCATAATATTTTGAGGAAGAGAGCCACTTATGAGGATGAGTCAGAAGAGCCATCAAACAAAGGAACTTTGTGTCACAACTTTTGCCCTGAAACCTAATGGTCATCCACCTTTTTATTTCACTAATGAGGATCTTCATGATAAGGGAAATCCATATAACGACCCCATTATAGTAAAGACGAAAATAAATAATTATCAAGCAGGGAGTGTTCTCATTGATACAGGGAGTTCTGTAAATGTACTATTCAAAAATGTATTTGTTAAGTTAAGTCTCACTGTCAATCGAATGACCACACCAGGCAGTCTGCTGTATGGATTCTCGGGCAAAAAAAAGGAAGTGCTAGGTTTGGTTGGGCTCTCGGTAATTTGGGGAGATAATAATAATAATAATAATAAAATTATGCTCACAGAAGATTTTCTCTCAGTGGATTCACCTCCAACTTAGAAACACTATATTCGGTCGACCGCTGCTGAACAATTTCAGAATGATAGTCTCTACTTACCACGTTGCTATCAAGTTTCAAGGAGATGGGGGAGTTTTCAAGGTTAGGGGTGACCTGGAGCAGTCCCGGGCATGCAACTTGCGGGCTATAAGCAACGTAGAGCACAATCCCCTGGACATCTAAAACGAGAGGGAAGGTGGCCTCAAGACCAATGAGACCACCTGCGAGGTTTCAACTTTTGAAGAAGAGCCAAGTAGATGTTTTCTGATAAGTGATGTTTTTGATGCAGGTCACAAAAAGTTGTTTATCCAAACCCTCCAAGAAAATCAAGATATTTTCGCGTGTTGAGATGTCAGACGTGTCGATAGATGTCGCGTGCCACAAGCTGAACGTTGATCCATTGAATTGACCAATGAAGCAGAAGATCAAGAGTTTAGCAATGACTTTGGCGGGACCCATCTGAGAGGAAGTACGAAAGCTGGAGGAGGCAGGGTACATTAAAGAGGTACAATACGCCACCTGGGTCTCCAACGTGGTGATGATTCAGAAAGCCAATGAAAAATGGAGGATGCGCGTGGACTTCACCGACCCGAATTTCGCTTGTCCAAAAGACTCTTATCCTCTACTGAGGATCGATGCTCTGGTGGATTCGATGGTCGGGCACTTAGTCTTTAAGTTTCCTTGACACATTTTCTGAGTACCATTGGATCAAGATGCACCCAACTGATGTAGAGAAAACCACTTTTATTACTTGTGAGGGACTTTTTTGCTATAATGTAATGTCTTTTGGGCTTAAAAATATAAGGACGACTTACCAATGCCTCATTGATGTAATCTTTGCCAATGAAAAAAGAAGGAACATTGAGGTGTATGTCGATGATATACTGATTAAGTGTCGGTTGGTCGAACAACATATTGAAGATTTAAAAGAACCATTTCTAACACTTAAAAAGTTTAACATGAAACTATATCCACTGATGTGCACCTTTCGGGCTGTGACTAGGGGTGCAAATGAGCAGAATACGAGCGAGCCCAGGCTCAGCTCATGTTCGACTTGTTAAAAAATTTCACTGTTCATGTTCAGCTCGTTTATATTTCGAACACAAAAAATGTGTTATTGTTTGACTCGTTTGCTTAGCGAGTCGAACACGAGTTGATCGCAAATAAAGTCATTTTGTCAACCCTAATCAAGTAGTAGAAGAATATTAAGGGTTGATGTCGTGTTTAAATTTTATTATTTATATTAAAACATCATTTAAATATAACTAAATATACCTTTATTTTATTTTTTAATTAATAATTTCAATTGATTATAAAACTTTATAGTCTTACGGTCAATTAAAATTTTTAAAAATGATATATATAGAAAGGGTACCGTGCAGAACTACCGTAGGTCGAGCTTATAAGCTCCAATTTTCCAGGTGGTCGTGGCAGAGTTCTGAAGGACGACGGCGGTAGAAGTAGAACGAAGGAGGAGAAGAATAAGAATAATGGCGCCGGCTTTCTGGGAAGAAGAAAGGGAAGCGAATACTGGCTATCTCCGATAACGTGATCGTCTTCCTCCTTCCCCACCGCCGCCGCCGCCCTCCCAAATCTTCGACAGCGCTGTAAGCTATTTTCATTACTCTCACTTCTGCAATTTTTCCGGTTGTCTTTTGATCTGAGGATAGTGATATTAGATCTCCCATAAATACCTAATTGGCCGGAGGCTGTGCGTCAGTTAAAAATTGGCATATGCTTTCAGCGTTTTTGTTTCCGGCATGCTGTTGAATGGGACCTCCGCCGGATTTTTATCTTTATTTTTATTGCCCCTGGATCGTCTTTATGCCGTTCTTGATTCCTCTCAGACAATGGGTTTTCGAATTATTTTCTTTATTTGAATCTTTCGGACGAGCATGATGTTGCGCCAGGTGTTTTGATTGCTCGGCACACTTGATCGTTGTTTTCTTCGTTTTGGTTTTTGAAATTTTCAGATCTCTTTCAATGTTCAGATTTGGGGTTTATATTAGTTTCTTGTCCAGATTTTGATCTGTTACATATGCTGAGATATTCTATCTTTTTGGGGTTCTACAATCATTAATAACTTCATGCTAGGTTTTGGATGTGCATTTCAGACAGAAGGTTTGTTCTTCTCCTGGTGAAGGGATTGAAGGAGAATAAGAATTGTTTGACTACGTCAATATTTTTGAAAATTTTTTGCCGTTTCAAGCTCTCTGCCATCTTCTCACCCTTGTGAGATATGTTGGAGGACCGCTCCTGTCTGTTCTCAAGAATATTACCGTCGATTACCTGCGATCAAGAATCTACTTGGTTCTACATGAACTATGAAATTCATGATAATAAATATACCCCGATTGAAGGACAGGAGGAACGAAGAGGAGATAAGGGAAAGAGGAAAAAAACTACGGAGTTTATTGGTGCTTCCAGAAACAGAGAAATCCAACCAACACCTGATTATAGCAATCGGCAAGGAGATGATAGGGACTATTCAGCTGGAGATGATCTCATAACCCCAATAGGTAGAGATCTCTCTATTGACTGCCTCCTTCGATGCTCTCGCTCAGATTACGGTTCTATCGCATCCGTCAACAAAAGCTTTCGATCTCTAATCCATAGTGGTGAGATTTACAAACGCAGGCAGCAGTTGGGTATTGTTGAGCACTGGGTTTATTTGTCTTGCAACGTTCTTGAGTGGGAGGCTTATGATCCTTGCCGCAATAGATGGATCAGTCTTCCCCGAATGCCTCCTAACGAATGCTTTATGTGTTCTGATAAGGAGTCCCTTGCAGTGGGCACAGAGCTTCTTGTTTTTGGGAAGGAAGTAACTTCTCACATTGTACTGAAATATAGCATACTGAATAATTCTTGGTCACCTGGAAAAGAAATGAACTCACCTAGGTGCTTGTTTGGATCAGCTAGCCTTGGTGAGAAAGCTATTGTAGCTGGTGGTACTGATGCTCGTGGAAACATTTTGAGTTCAGCTGAGCTCTATAATTCCGAGTTGCAGACCTGGGAGACCCTTCCAGGCATGAACATACCAAGGAAGATGTGTTCTGGTGTGTTCATGGATGATAGGTTTTATGTGATTGGTGGAGTGGACAGCAACAAAGAGGTGCTAACATGTGGAGAAGAGTATGATCTTGTTAAAGGAATCTGGAGGCGAATCCCAAATATGTCTTCTGGTCTTAGTGGAGCGAGTGGCGCTCCTCCACTTGTCGCTGTTGTTAACAATAAACTTTATGCAGCAGATTATGCCTCAAATGAATTGAGAGAGTACAACAAAGACTATAACTCATGGATTACCTTGGGTCGATTGCCTGAGAGACATGTATCTGTGAATGGCTGGGGTGTTGCATTCCGAGCGTGCGGTGAGCAGCTTATGGTTATTGGCGGAACAAGAGGTCTGGGCGGGGGGATGATTGAGATCAACTCATGGATTCCAAATGAGAGACCGCCTGAGTGGAATATGGTAGCTAGCAAACATTCAGGAAGCTTTGTTTATAACTGTACTGTTATGAGCTGCTGATCTGGCTGAACTTAGTCACCTTACTTTGTATTGTAAATCCTAGAAGGATTGGCCTGTTCTTGCAGTATACATACTAATTCTGCATAACAGGTAATCTCAGCTTTTTTTCCACTTTGATGTTTAAAGTGAACTTAAAATTCAACATAGTTCTCTTTGCATGCTATCCTTATTTTCTTTAATATTTTTGGAGATGATATAATTAGCAGCGAATTTAATTATTTTTCTTAAAAATAAAACAGATGGGAGCATGGCCACAAAAATACTAGAGAACTTGCCCTAATTGAAGAGTACTCGCTAATCAAATATAATTATAAAGCTACTCTTCACCGTAAATCAGGCCTCTGCTTATTCATCCCAACGCATGTGCATGTGAAGCAATTTTCCGCTTACCGTAGTGTGGACATTACTCGTCGGTAACTACAAACTCTATCCATGACCTATTAGCTCGCAAGTTTCCCTTCATTATGAAAACTATGGCATTCACCATCTCATGCAAAATCCATTGCTCGTGATTGTATCGTGCTTCGTTGTCTACCAGATCCTCTTCTTCTGCACTTAAAGCTCATCATCTACCCTACACATCTAGCTACACGCTCTCTTGCCACTCATAATCTAAGGCCTTTGGTCTGTTGTCACTACTCCATGAAAATTATTTGGAACCCAAGAAGATGCACTCGGAGAAAACTATTACCGTGCTTTCCTATGAAGCCAATTTTAAAAACTCAAGCAATAATCTCAATTGGATCAAAAGGCTGAACTTACACTCAAGAGAGTGTATGTTTTGGTGGAGAATCTGCCACATTGCTATTCCCACTAGGGTTTGGCTTGCTAGAAGGGGCCTTGAGGATTCCATGGCGTGCCCTTGGGGATGTTTAGAGCTGGAGGATCGAGTTCATCTTTCTACTAATTGTTTTCTCTTTTGCAGGATAAGAAACATCATGGAAATTTGGGGCATCAAGATACCAGCTTTGAGTAGGTCATTAACAAGCTAAGCAAGATGGCTAAAAGCAGCATTCCGCAAGCCCAATGTTTTTGCTTTACTGTCCATCATTGTTAGAGAGCTAGCAACATGAAGACACACAACTAACCTCACGGCACGCTGACAACCATTGTTGCGGCCATTCTTGAGGCACCCACAAATACTTCTTTATCCATTCCAGGAATAATGGAATGCTAGCTGTCCCAGGCCTCTGCTTATTCATTCCAACGCGTGTGCTTGTGAAGCATTGCTCGTCTGTAACTACAAACTCTAACGATGACCTATCCCCTCGCTAGTTCCCCTTCACTTATGATTGCCCGCCTACCAGTTACCATAGTGTGGGGCATTGCTCGTCTGTAACTACAAACTCTAACCATGACCTATCCCCTCGCTAGTTCCCCTTCACTTATGAAAACTATGGCATTCACCATCTCATGCAGAATCCGTTGCTCATGATTGTATCGTGCTTTGTTGTCTACCAGATCATCTTCTTCTGCACTTAAAACTCATCATCTACCCTACACATCTAGCTACACCAAAGCTCTTGCCACTCACAATCTAAGGCCTTTGGCCTGTTGTCACTACTCCATGGAAATTGTTTATGCACTCGGAGAAAACTCTACTGTGCTTTCCAATGAAGCCAATTTCTAAAACTTGAGCACTAATCTCAATTGGATCAAAGGGCTGAAATTACGCTCAAGAGAGTGTATATTTTGGTGGAGAATCTACCACGATGCTATTTCCACTAGGGTTTGGCTTGCTATAAGGGGCTTTGCGGATTCTATGGCGTGCCCTTAGGGATGTTTGTAGCTGGAGGCTCGAGATTATCTTTCTACTACTAGTTTTCTCTTTTGCAGGATAAGAAACATCATGGCAATTTGGCGCATCACGATACTAGTTTTGAGGAGGTCATTAACAAATTAAGCATGATGCACTGTCCATCATTGTTGGAGAGCTCGCAACATGAAGACACACAACTGACCTCACGACACTCTAACAGCCATTGTTGCGGCCATTCTTGAGGGACACAAAGACACCTTTATCCATTCCTGTGATATCATGCGAGATTATTGCAGACGTGGTCTTTTGCCAAGCGAACAACTCATTACTCATTGGGATAGTTCTCTAGTGGAACTTCTAGCTATTTGATCTATTTAAGGTGTCTGCAAACCGTGGTTGTTTGAGAGCAAAGTCATCAATATTAGAAGGGAAAATGTCAATATCATGCAGTTTTTGAGTTATACCATGCAGAACAATGTTCGGCAACAACTACCATTGGATGCTCTGGATCCAGCCTTCATGCTCATATTCAAACAAGTTTTATTTTTCTCATATACCTAGGAATTGTAAAAAGGCTGCGTATGCTTGTGCTCCAACAATCCTTCAATGCTCTTTTGTTTTGTCGCATGTCGATCATAGTGCTCTTTCTTCTATACTCATAGATGATAAGTCATACTTTTATACATGATAGGTGGCATGCACATACTTTTTGTAAGATTTGATTTTATTAATGCAAAAATAAACTTGTTCAAATCTTGTGGTCACTACTCTTTTCATGTGATTCTGATTATGAGATGTCTTTACTTTAATGTGATTTCCCGGGGCATCCTTGGCCTTCAAGCTATCTAGCTGTGTGGTATAGTGTCATAAGATATAATATGTTGCAAAAATGTAAGGTAACGTAATGGGGTGCAACATAATATACTACAATTAATTGAGGGCTGTTATGGCATTTTTCAGTATATTTTGTGATGTTACATCCTGCATTTTATCCCTATTTTAGCCCTGCAGTGATGCCATAAAAAATCATAAAAGTCATGATGCAGTGAGCTATATAGTCCATCATTTTTAGGGGAAAAAAAATAGATTGTCGAGAAATGAACATTGTTTGGCCCGTTTGCCATTTTTGGGGGCTCTCGGAAAATATTTGCGTATATAAGATGTACACAGCTCTGCGTACATCAGGGGTTATTCAGGGGGTACAATGAAGTTATATCTGGGTTATACCCCCTTGTAACTTCCGGTATAACCCGGATATAACTCCCCTGTACCCCCAGAATAACCTCTGATGTACGCAGCGCTGCGTACATCTTATGTACACAAATATTTCTCCTCGCCTTCAGCTTGCTAGTTATTCAATATAACGTTAAAAGATATATTATATTATGCGATACAAAAAAAGTATGACATCATAAAGAATGCCACAAGATATGGTATCGGTAATTTTGCAATATAATAGTATTTTTGTATTTTTTTTATTATAGGGCATACAATTTAGTGTTAAGTTAGCCCTGCAGTGATGCCCAATAAAAACCTAAAAGAGTAAATATTTGAAGATCAAGATGATGAAATATGGTTGAATTTTAAATGGGCATTTGAGGTGCCGCGACAACGGTGAGCTATAATCCATCGTTCTCAATCAAAATTTGATTTACACGTCAAACATGGACACTATTAGCTCATCCAACATTGCATGGGGCCTACTTAGCCACTAAGTTGGCCTGTTATTTGGAAAAAAACATTAGAAGATATATAATACTACGTGATACAAAAATATTGAGTAATCCAAACAAAACGGGTGCAACATGATATATTATACATTGTTGTGGCCTAACATTTTTGGGATTTTTGGTTTGGTAGCTTACGCAATTTAGCCCTATGCAAGGGCACAAAAAAAAATCATAGAAGTCCTTATTTGAGGGTGGAGATAACAAACTTTTGTTGAATTCCAAGTGAAGACTGGATAGAGCATTGGCAGTAAGCTATAGTTCACAATTTTTTAGTCAAAAAAAAAAAAAAAAGGGGTTGCTTGTCAAAAATAGATGCAGTTGGCCCGTCCGACCATTTTTAGGGGGCCTCTTCGACCTCCGAGCTATCTCTCTATGTGGTATAGCGTCAGAAGTTATGTTACATTATTGCTAAATAAAAACACAAGGTGTCGTACAGAGGTGCAACAGGATATATTATTGTTTATTGTGGCATCTTATAGTATTTTTTTAGGATTTAATATTTTGCATTTTAGCCTTTCATTGATGCTCCAAAATATAAAAGATATATAAAATTCAAGATTTGAATGTCAAGTTGATGGAATATGGTTGAATTCCAAGAACAAGTTGAAGCTGAAGTGAAGCAATTGCGGTGAGCTATAGCTAGGGCTGTCAAAAATTGACCCGACATGTCAACACGACTCAAACTTGACTAAAAAAAATCCAAGTTTAGGTTGACCTAAATATTTTTTGAGGGGTTCATGTCAAAGAATTGGATCAGTTTATTATTTGGGTCGGATTCAGGTTGAACCCGAAAACCTAAACATGACCTGAATAAACATGAAAATTCGGGTCGAGTTCGGGTTAGCTGGTCAAGCTCGGGTTCGGGTTTAGTTTTCGACCGGTTTATTATTCGAGTTGGGTTTGGTTTGACTCTATTCAGGTCAAGTCAGATTAGGGTCGGACTCGAACCCGACCAATTGACTCGAGTTGACACCCCTAGTTATAGCCCACCGTTTCTAATGAAAAATTAGGGTTTGACGCCAAAAATAGACACCAATGACCCGTTCAACTATTTAGACATTTGAGTTTGCTCTTTATATTGTAAAAAAATATATTATATTGTTGGATATATGTATTTCTCCTTAGGGCCTGGATATTTGCTAAGGTGGAGATTTGTTAGGTATGACTCATATGCCATAAATGAGACAGATGCTGGAGCGGAGCGGAGCGAAGCCCACGAGCTGAGTGGAGCGAAGCCCACGAGCTAAGTGGAGCGGAAGGATCTGTCCAATTGGGGGAGTTTCATTATATGGGTTGGGGGTGCGAGGGTAACACCACATGGTTTGGTACATGGATAATTTAAGTACTTACATATTGTACTATAGAATTGTATATATGTCTTGTTTGTAACCCTAGGTGAGTCTCTAAGACTCCGAGATTCTGAATCTTATATTCTGTACTCTTTTTTGAAGATTGAAAGGGAAGTCGCCTTTTTGCTCCCGAGGATGTATGCATCTTCGTCGAACCTCGTAAATCTCTATGTATTCTTCTGGATTTGTGTTGATTCATATTTTTCTTTGCCTTAATTTTTCAACAAGTGGTATCAGAGACAAGTTCTAGGGCAGAGAAGAAAAATTTCGGCGGCACAGAAACAAAGAAGATTTTGGCTGAGGAGTTCGGCTAGTGTTTGAACGATTCGAGCTCCAGGTCGAAGGCGAGGGCTCGATTGGCGAATCACGACAGTTGTTCGGATCGACATAGAGGGCGTTCGACAGGGTTGCCGGCGTTCGCGCGACGCAGGAGTTCGCAGGAGATCAGACGAAGAAGTTCGCGAATCGCAACAGACAGGAGTATCAGTTCACGAATCGCGGGAGAAGGCGTTCGTTGGTTCGGGCGCGGAGGCAGTTTCCGCGAATCCCGCGAGTTCGTCGAATTCGGCTACGAACTGTTCGCAACGGTCGTTTCCGCGCAGGAGGAAACAATTGCGCGGGAAGGGGTTCGCGTGAATCGCTGGAGCCGAAATAGGAAAGGCAGCCTGCAGAGGAAAGGAGCTTTTCTGAGAAGAAAAAAGAGCTTTTCTGGAAAGCATAAAAACAGAGCTTTTCTGGAAAGCAAAAAACAGAGCTTTTCTTAAAAGGAAAGCGGGGCTTCTCTGGAAGGAGATTTTCTGGAAAGGAATTTTTCTGGAAAGGGGATGCAGAGCTTTTCTGAGAAGGAAAACAAAGCTTTTTTGGAAGGAAAAATGAGTTTTTTTGAAAAGCGGAGGCGGAGCTTTTTTAGGAGATCTTCTAGGAAGTTAATAAAAAAAATTTCTGGAAAAGTTTAATTAAGAAAAATTTAATTAAGGGAAAATCCTTTTTCTTAGAAACCTAATTAAGGGAAATTCCTTTTTCTTGGAAACTTAATTAAGGGAAATTTCTTTTTTCTTGAAAACTTAATTAATGAAAACTTCTTTTTTCTTGGAAACTTAATTAAGGAATCTTAATTAATGAATTATTTAAAATGACCCAACCCACATTTGTGCATAAGAAACTCCATGATGTATTTTCTCTTAAGGGACAGGATATTCGCTAAGGTGGAGATTTGTTAGACATATGTATTTTTCCTAAAAGGTTGGATATTTGCTAAAGTGGAGATTTGTTAGGCATATGTATTTCTCCTAAAGGGCTGAATATTTGCCAAGGTGGAGATTTGTTAGATATGACTCATATACCATAAATGGGACAGATGCTGGAGCAGAAATCCACGAGCGGAGTGGAGTGAAAGGATCTGTCCAATTGGAGGAGTTTCATTATGTGGGTTGGGGGTGCAGGGGCAACTCCCCGTGGTTTGGTACATGGGTAATTTAAGTAATTACATATTGTACTATAGAGTTATATATATGTTTTGTTTGTAATCCTAGGTGAGCCTTTGAGGCTCCGAGATTCTGAATCTTGTATTATGTACTTTTTTCTGAATATTGAAAGGGAAGTCGCCGCTCTGCTCCCAAGGTTGTGGGCATCTTTGACGAACCTCGTAAATCTCTGTGTATTCTTATGAATTTGTGTCAATTAATGTTTTCTTCTCTCTAATTTCTCAACATATATTATCTCATACAAAAATTAATATCAAAATAATGCAAATTTGATGTATTCAAGATCATATAATTCATAGCTCATTAAAACGCTTACGTTCATAAATTTGTAAAATGTTTAAGGGGGGTTACATCCAAACTATCCATGTGATTCATTTGTTCTCTTTAGTCTTCCTTGATTGTATGGTCTTGTACAATGAATGCACATCATTGAGTGTTTCGTCATCCAATTATTATCAATTGTCCTTCAACAATCATTCATATTTGTCCTATAGTCATCATCATTATTGTCTTTATGTGATCATAACGATGATTGCCCACATCTAACCAACACTGGCAATTGTCATCACATGTCCTCTAAAACACCCCATCAGCCAGCGCTAACATTTATCGTTGCCCATGAACTGATGCTGATGCTCACTTCCACTAACATCTTATGCTAAGATCTGGCTTCATCCACTGCCTTCCCATCAATATCGTCACCTTCTAATATTAACCATCACTATAGTGTAATAGATTTTTTTTTCGTACGATTTTTCTTATAAAAATTATGCCTCTTCTGTGGATTATGGCTTATGCATGTTAGGAAGTGTTTTGTCAGTAGCATTGGGGCATTGCATTACTCTTATAGAAATCTCTAGAATTTTGGGCTAGTCACCGCCATCGTTAATCACCACCCACCAATCTTGTCAGCAACCAACCACCACCTCTGCCTACTGTCGGCCACCATCACCCTCCAGTGTCACCCGCCACCGGCCAAAACATTAATTTTTATTTTATCTCAAACTAAATAAAAAAAATGAAGCGACCCTTTTATCTTACAATGGTCTAAACAACACTACAATATTTCAAATAAAATACATTATTTTTACTTTATATTTATTTTAGATGCATGATATTCATTCAGCCACTCAAACAACCCCCCTATTATTGATGAGATTTTTATAGAATGAGTTTGTTTGCTTCCACAATTTTTTTCTTGGCCATCATAATAACTTTCAAATAAATGACAACATTACGGGTTGTATGGCAACAAAAACGATTTAAGTTGTAGGATTTAATAAATCCTATAAATCCTTATTTAGTATTTTCTCAAAGGGTTAAATTTCAAAAATTATTTGACAACGAATTTTGTAAATTCTATTAAATTATGTGAAATAGTTTGACAAATTCTGTCTCGATTTAAATTTGTATGGTCGTTAGATTTTAAAAACATGTCAAGCTGTATGGCAACAAAAGAGATTTAAGTTGTAAGATTTATTAAATCCTATAAATCCATATTTAGTTTTTTCTCAAAGGGTTAAATTTCAAAAATTGTTTGACAACCAATTTTGTAAATTCTATTAAATTATGTGAAATAGTATGACAAATCCTGTCTCGATTGAAAATTTGTATGGTCGTTAGATTTTAAAAACATGTCATTGTAGGATGTACAAAAGAAAATTTATTTGATTAAGTAAATCATATAATTCGACAATATGATTTACAAATAATAATCAATTAGTAGACTTGATTTTCAAAATAGCCAAAATCTCAATCAATATTTTATTTCAAATTATGATTATTAATAATTATATATTTAATAAACTAATTATTTATTAATATAACTTTTATTAATTAATTTTTAAATAGAAGTTTAATTTTATAAAAATTAATTAATTAGTTATTAATTATATTAATTAATAATTACATATAAATTTATTGAATGAATAAAAATTAATATTTATCTTACACTAATTAATAATTAATGAAAATTATAAATTTACTTAATTATAATTAATCTGATAACATTTTAATTAGTTATTAATTATTAATCAATGAAATTAATAAAATTGACTTAAATAAAATTTGCTCTCTGTTTCCTCCAAGACATCTCCTTGGTGCCGGAATTGGAGCTAGCTGGGATCGCGGCTTACAGTGACCCAAAACTCCCATTTTTCTCCCCTGCTAACTATTTTATTGGAAGTGGATAAAGTATGGGACCATCGTATCCTAGCATGAGGACCTGATTTTTCCAAGCAGAGAAACAAAATGAAATTTCAAAAAAGCTCCATGATTGCTCTTTATTGTTGCTGAAAGTCCATGAAGAGGAAAAGAGGATAGCATGAAGGTGTTCTGTTTCATTTCTCCTCCTCCGGCAATTCACTTCTCCTCCTCATCCTCCAACAGCTTTGTCGTACCAAGAACCCCACTTTCTTCACTGGCAGTCGCACGCACAGAAGAAAGAGGATGAATGTTTTCTGCCTGATTTCTCCTCATTCAATGAGTCACTTGCCTTCCTCCTTGGCATCGAGAATGATCCGAATGGAGAGGCCAATCTTCTACTCTGGTGACCGCACCCTCAGATTTCCAGAGGCCTTTAACCGTTATTCATTTCATAAGAGAAATGCGTCTTCCCTACTTCCCACTTTCTGGTATGCCCTGAAATCAATTTGCAAAATGATTCCCGTGTATACGGAAGAAATATATAAGAAAATAACAATGTGAATAAGTAATAATTTATGGAGCCATTCAATTTCAACATTCTCCCTTAACTTTGAATCTATGACGCTCACCAAGATTGCTTCTTTTAATATCGAGGTGTAGTTCATTGCTCTTTGGGCGCCTGTGTGTGGAAATATTTATAAGATGATTCTAGAAAGAAATCAAAAGAAGATAAATTGCTTTTGTGCTTCATCTTATAAACTCATGAAATCTAAGAAACGTGAAGACTGAAATATTGAGAACTGAGTCCTCAGTCGAAAGAAATCAAAAGAAGATAAATTGCTTTTGTGTTTCATCTTATAAACTCATGAAATCTAAGAAATGTGAAGACTGAAATATTGAGAACTGAGTCCTCAGTCTACTTATATTTCTCACGTTTGATTTTTTAAAGATTCCTAAAGGAAGTCTTTTGAGTTTAAACACTGTTAATTTACCATCAATTTTAAAATTGATGTTCCTGTTATTACTGTGAATGTCTTCGCAATCAAATGTGGGGATCTAATTTTGAAATCTCATGATAGTTATATTTGTTCATCTAATACCATGACTCATTTGATTCATTTTAAAATGCATCATTTGTTATTTTTTTATTGTCATAATCAATGTATTACATTTAGTTAGAGTGATGTAGGGTACTTTAGGGGTTTGGGTTTCTTAATTTAACTAAACAATGCAATGAATGTAGATCATATTGGATTCACAGATCAATGACAACTAAATATCCATTGTAAACCAAAAATTATTTGAATCAGAACCCAAAAAATAAATAATGTTTGAATGAATTTTAAGAAATCAGTGAAAAAGTCAAACTACCAAAAAATGGCAAGCAATTAAAAATTTAGAACTCTATTAAAATTTCCATCACATCATACTTTAACAACACTAAGAACTAAAGAAAGCCAAGAATGATATATTTAGAAGAAATCAGATAGAAGAGTGTTCATCAAGGTAAGGAAAGTATAGGCTCGCACTACCATAAGGAAATAATTTCTTACTATGCACAAGGTTGAGACTTAAAATTTGAAATTTATTGATATAAAAGCTGAAAAATTACATACCTAGATTTCTCATCCCTAGATTAGTAGATGTGATTGGTGCAAAATTAATCCATTTTGGTTCCAACAATTCAACATGCTTTTCTTGGAGCATCGAAGTTCAAATAGTCACAGTATAGGGGATTTTTCATGAACATCAGAGTGGAGACCTAATAATAGCAAGGCAGTCTCAATGACAACATCAATGAAGCATTTGTCGCTGTAGTAATGGATAGATAAAGCAATAGAGAAGCCGCTACGCACTGAGCAGATAAGGGAAAAAGAATGGTGAAAATAGTTCAATTATATAGTTCCACACCATAATTTGTAAACTTTAAATGGCATAATTGTAGATTTAACTCATAAGAATATTTGATGTCATTCATTTTTTACCAAAAGTAAGCCTAATTATATAGTGAATTACACTTTCTAATTCAACATGTATCATAGATATGTTGAATATTTCTTGATAAGTGGTAGAATGATCATGGTAAAGTTTATGGTTTCATTTTTTGTTTTTCAGGTCCAAATTTTTCTAAAACAAATGTTAATCTATTAGAATTTTAAATTCATACTGATACTTTTATAACTTGATGTTCGACTAGTTTAAATCACAATAGTGTAAAGTGTTTTTGACAACAATTTTGAGGGGTTGCAATGAACATAAATGTGAAGAGCATCATGTCCTCCAAATAATACCAAGTCTATGGGAAATATCATGTTTCAAAACCTCCTATGATTTGCTATTCTTTGAAACTTAATTTTTGCTGTTTGGTGAAGGTGGCGCCCCTACTGCAACTTTCAAACCCTTGAAAGCACAAGCAAGTAGCAACCAGGAAGGAGAAATTATAGATAAAGATATTGTGTTTGTTGCAGGTTCAACCGGTAGAGTAGGCTCGCGTACCGTAAGGTTGTATCTACCAATAAAATTTATAAATTCCATGCAAATTAAATTTTTTTTATTATTACTATTATTTTTTAAATTTAGAAGTCCTTTCCAGGGAACTTTTAAAGCTAGGGTTTCGGGTTCGTGCTGGTGTTAGAAGAAATCAATTAGCTGAAGCACTTGTGCAGGTTTGAACTTTTTTAACATATAATATTGCCTCATTTTATCTGTACATTTTTATATGTTAATTGTCTAGTATTTTGATGTTTTCTAGAGTGTCCAACAAATGAAGCTTGATGGCGAGGCTGGAAAACCTGAAACACAACGTAACAAAAGTTTTCAATTGAGTTCAGATGTGCCAATTCTTTGTCCATTCTTTTGATAATAATGGCAACTGGAGTTGCACTTTGGTTTGTAGACCAGCAATTAGCAATCTTGAGATTGTTACCTGCGATTTGGAGAAGAAAGGGAGCATAATACCAGCAATTGGCGATGCCTCTGTTATTATTTGCAGCATTGGAGCAAGTGAAAAGGAGGTTTTTGATGTGACAGGACCATATCGCATTGATTATAAAGCAACCAAGAACCTGATTGAAGCAGGTCAACCCTCTCATCTCTATCTAAGGGTTTAACCCACTCCACTATGACTTAAATCTATTTTAGAGAATACCTAAACTCTAACCTCTCTCTTTCAACCTGCTCTTTTAGGCATGAATGATATCTATAATAATTTTTTAGTTCTGTATTTTTATTTTTATGTTTTAACAAATAATACTAGACTCAGTTGAAATTACTTTCACTTTCACTTTTGCATATTTGGCATTTTTTTCCCTTCATGGGTATACCCAAATAATTAGACCTCTAGGCAAGTTTGTCTTTTGTCTACCTAAGGGCAATTTAGTTTATTATTATTATTATTATTGGGTATAAGTAGACTTATTATGGTTAGGGTTAGATTTTATGAATGAGATTGAGTTGTGAGTCTTAGGTTTAGGTTTTGGTAGAGATTTCCTACCTCTCGAATTGTAGGAATTGGGAGAGATCGTCCACCTCTTGAATCGTAGGTGCTTATCTTTGTTTTCTTATTGAGTTGTTTGATTTAGTGAAGAAATATTGTGTTCGCCCTAAATTTTCTAGAAAAACGTGCCAATTTTGAGGTTGGATCATAACAAATACTCTGTTTCAACAAATGTCTGGTTTGAAGTTGTAGTTGGGTACTTTAACGAACTAACTTTTCTTAGATACATTAACATTAAACTGCAATGCAACTTAGAGATCCTGTTTGTTCATTATTTTCAAATTTATTATTATTTTTTTATCATGGTGCAGCAACTCTTGCAAAAGTCAATCACTTCATCTTGGTCACATCTTTGGGCACAAATAAGATTGGATTTCCTGCTTCTTTTCTAAAGTAAGTGTGGTTAGTGGTGGAAGTCCAAGCTTCTTCATTTAGTTTATCTTTTATACCATCTCAGTTAATCATTAATCCAACTTATCTACAAATGGCAGCCTTCCTTGAAGTCTTAAAACTGAAATGAGTTCCACTTAATTAGAGGGTTTACCATTATGAGTAACGCTCTTACTTGGTGCTTTAACCATTGATTTCCATAGCTGTGTTGTGTTGAATTTGATAAACATACATAATTCAAATGTTTGTGTGTACTGGCCTCGCTTTTAATGAGTAAAGTAACAAAATAGTCTCCTCATTATTTTGATGGGGTCATTTTAATTCCAGAGTAGTTAGTCCCCAAAATGTTTTAATAGAGGCTAAAATAATCCTCATTAGGGACTATTTCAGGACATATTAAAAGAATCTGGAAACTAAATTGACACTTTTAGAAACTTTGGGACTAAAATGGTTCCCTGCGAAAGTCAGGGGATCATTTTGACACTTTTCTCCTTCTTAAATATATATGAGTTCAGCCACAACATGCCAGAACCTACACCATACTTCAAGATGGCAAATTGGAAGGTTTTTATTTTTTTCTAAAAATACATATTTTTTAAGTAATCTTGTGACATGCTGTTGTGAACTTATGGTACTTGTTTCCCTGTACTAATCCTTGGTTGAAGCTTATTTTGGGGGGTTCTGATATGGAAGAGAAAGGCTGAAGAGGCTCTTATTGCTAGTGGTATTCCTTACACAGTAAGCACAAGCTTGTGTTAGAATTAAATATCACAATTATGGTTTCAAACTAGGATTGTATCTCTTTTTTACTTTTGCAAAAAAATGCAATCTTTAATTTAATGATGAAAAACAGATAGTAAGACCGGGAGGAATGGAGCGACCCACAGACTCTTTCAAGGAAACTCACAACCTTGTTCTTGCAAAAGAAGATACTTACTTTGGTGGCTTGGTCTCCAACCTGCAAGTATTCATATCTCTTAATTCTAATTCGTTTACCTTTATACCATTTCTCTCTCCCATGAAAATTATAAAAAAAAAAAAAAACCCTTAATACGACTTATTTGAGAATACCGTTAAAGAAAAGACTATAAGAACTACGAAATACCTCCATATGTACTAACATAATAAGGAACTTAACATTCTCAACTAGAAATTTACTTTTTCAAGTAACTTGCAAATCTGATCATTTGTCATGAACAGGTTGCAGAGCTCATTGCATTCATGGCAAAAAATAAAAGACTTTCATCTTATAAGGTGGTGGAAGTAATAGCAAAACAAACGGAACCACTAAAGCCATTGGAAGAGCTGCTTGGCAAGATTCAACCACAGAGGGTAAGTGTTTAATATATATTTACATAAATTACAACATTAGGTAAATTTGAGAGATATTAGTTCCTGCACTGTTCAGTTCCTTTTTATAAATGTTGTCAATGATTAATTGAATGCTGGACCACGTTGCAAACTTATGGAGTCCAAATTTTACACAAAGTTTGTCTCTTTGCCAGGAAATTCTAGGTGAATATGAGGTAGATAGTAGGCCTAATGTGGACTCAACTAGTATTGCAACAGAGACGTTCAGTAGAATGACTGCGCCAAAGGCAAGGCCACTATCTCCTTATTTCATGTAAGTTGATTCAACCATATAGCTGAATAAGTCAACATAAAGAAACTATCTTCTTATTGCCGTGTGAGATTTGTTTTGCAGGTATGATGACTTCAAGCCCCCAAGCTCTCCTACTCCAAGCAAAGCCAAGGCCAGCTCTAAGGTTACTTCTAGCTCTGCTTCTGGAGATTGAATATCCCATGGATGGGCTCGTGAGTAATAGCTGAGTTTGTAAAATATCTTTTGTTTAAAAAAATAATATTTGGTCTTATTTGGATCATTCAAATCTCAGAGAGAAAACGTCGTTGTTTTTAGTGTAAAGGACCAAGGGATTTTGATTTGCACTGCATTGTTTTTTCTAATTTTTGCATGATTTTAAAGAATTTAATGATGATGAGGCGAGGGAGTTGAGAAAAAATCTTAAATTATGGAGGTCAAATTTAGAGTCTAAAGGTTTTTGTTTTGTAGATCTAAAACTGAATGTACACAATGTAATTTTAGTAATAGTACATCTAATGGTGGGGTTGTAATAACGAGTGATCAAGTCATTATAATGAGTGAACATTTTAGATGTCTCGGGTCGATTCTTCAAAGTGATGGTGATATTGATGGGGATATTACTAGTAGAATTCAAGTTGAATGGTTGAACTAGAGGAATGCATCGGGCCTACTATGTGAAAGCAAAGTACCGCATAGACTTGAAGGAAAATTTTATAAGATGGTGGTGAAACTTGCAATGCTTTTTGGCACAAATATTTTGCCTTTAAAAGCGAAGCATAAAATTAAGCTAAATGGTTATGAGATGAGAATGCTCAGATGGATGAGTGATTTTACACTTAGAGACAAAATGCAAAATGAATATATCCGTTAAAGAGTTGGAGTAGCTCCAATGATAGACAAGATTAGAAAGAGTCGCCTTAGATGGTTTGGTCACATTAAATGTCGACCATCTAACCCTGTTAGGAGGAGACGTGTTTTAGATTTGATTTATGCTAAGAAAGGTAAAAGTAAACCTAAAAAGACTTGGTCGTGTTGTATAATGATCGTAATTTATTAGAATTAAATAAAATTATGACACTCAGTAGAACACAATTTAAAAAAATGATTCATGTAGCCGACTACACTTAGTGAGATAAAGGCTTGTTGTTGTTGCACAACCCAAATTATCTCTTATTGTAAATAGACAATTTCTAAGAGCTTTATTGTCGATTACACTGTATCCTCATGTTATGTAACATGCGTTACATTTGATATTAGATAGGCCTTAAATTTTTATTCAAAATTTGATTTTTTTTTTTTTTTTGAAATATATTTGATTATTAATGTGCACTAACATCATTGCTCCCAATGGAGCATTTGCCAAATTTTTAGGTAGGGTCACAACTACCTCGTCAAACACCATCCCAACTAACCTAGCTGCATGATTAGGAGCTATGGAAATGCAATCCTTTATGTTTAGGAGGTAGTTTTAAGTTTATAAGGGGGGACTTCCTACTATGAAGGCAGTCCTTTGTTTATGGAGAGAGGCTTTTCCTTCGTTAAAACCAGCCATTCTATGGTGAGAGATTCTTCTAGTTCCAAAATAATTTTTCGTTTAAAGTCTCTATAGTGATGCTTAATCTTCCATGTTTCTCTTGTTGTTGCCCTTCACTATCCTTTGATGTAATATTTCCATTCAGCAATGACTTCTCCCAAGATAAGTTCCTTCATAATGCAATTATTGTGACTAGAATTACAAGTACCCTCTGTTCTATTTTAGGTCCCTCCAACATAAGTTTACAATACTCCAAGAGAGCTTTAAAAATGATCTCCACTACGGTGATATCTTCAGTCATAGTCTTCGTCATATTACCTTGTGCTATTTCACCTCTCACATCACTTGCAGTTACAATTTTTGAAAGTATCTCTATGCTTATATATCAAAGGTACAACCATATCGAGATCATTGGGTTTTATGAGTGATTTTCTTTTAGTTGCCTTGGTAACAAATTTTTTTAGGATATGTTTTCATGCTGGTTAGAGGAGCTATCTTGGAAGAGTGTGAAGTTGAATTTGTAGCTTGCTGTGAGATATAAAATAAAAATAAATAGATCTTATCAGTAGGTTGTCTATGATCAAAGACACTAAGTGACCATTGAAGATAAAGTTGTATTCAAGAGTCAAAAAAGCTTGTTAAATACTAAGCACGCTGGCAAAAAGTGTCCTATTATTAAGGAAAGGTTAGGGTCTTCAAGTGTTTAGTAAACATATCATTACAAATTTAGTGATTATGAATTTGCTCAACAACCTTTTATCTATGAGCATATAACTTTTATATGTGTGGTTTTCTTTGATGTGACAATTGTATGATGAAAATTTGTTTGTTGATGTTCAATTATTATTGAAATGTTTTCTCTTGTTAAACTTGAGCATTGTTATTTTCTTATTGAGGAAATTGTCAGAACATTTTTGTATTATTTGAGGGAAGTCATTTTAACTCAAGTCTACTTAAAATATCCATTTTTTTCTCTTAGCTCCTCAAATGCGATTCAAAATAGTCTCATAATTTTATTTGATATTTTTTTTTGCCACAAATTTCACACAAAATTTACATATAAGATGGAGAATAAGAGTATTTTTTAAAGTTGGAGTTTTATTTACCTTAATTTCACTTGAAATAATATTATTTTTAAATTAAGTAAGTTGATCTTTTTGTCTTATGGTCAAAATTAATTGTCCAGTGCCGATTTGAATTTCAAAACCTATGTTTCATTAGTCTCTCATGACTTCATAATAAGATATTGGTTTAATTCCCTACTAATTAGGAACTATCTATATTAAACATCTCATTTACTCTTAACTAATAATATGGAATATTTTATTATTTTCCTTTGGCATTTTTCTTTAGTAGATATTTCATCTATGATAGACGGAATTTTATGAAACATATTATTTCTCTGCAACAACTGTTTTTGTCCTAATGAAACATGAAAGGAAGTGTAGGAAATAAAATTTAGGAATCTCTACAGTTGATTGTTTTGAAGCTGATTGATTTTTTTTTATTTGGCTGATTTTCAAATATAAGATCACTTTCAGTAGATTGTAATACATGTAATTTATCTAGCCTTGATAAGTTTTTCAGTCCTCTTTGTGTTTATGTGTGTTATGCATTCTGTTTTTATTTATACTTTTAGTATAATTATATCATCAAAATTTTGTTCATTTTTCTTTTCAAATTATGAGATTATGTGTAGTTTAACTAAGAGCAAAATTTAGTGATGATCAAGCTAGATTAACAGTCTTAATGAGGGGTTTAATACTGAGAATTTTTATTTTTCTTTCAGCAAGTTGCTAATTTTGTTTTACACTCATTTCATTGTAATGAGATTTTTTTTGATGATCTCATCTAACTTAATGCCACATCAATACTATTTTTTGGCTCCCACCAATGGAAAAACCAAAGCTTTTTAAGATTGTTTCTCCATTTTGTTGAATGATGTGCATATGGTTCATAAAGTATAGAGACAGGGAAAGTAAGACTTGCATGATAAAACTCATGGTCTATTATGTAAAGGAGAAATCACATTCCTTCACAATCTAGATTTGAGTCTTATAATTAGATGAGATCATTAATAAAGTATGAAATTGTATAAAAAAACCAAAACTTTTTGATATGGTTCATTATGTGTTCATAAATACTCAAAATCTTAGCCACACCGCTCATCCTTATGCCACTTGCCCACTTTTAAGTAATAAATAATAAAGCATGATATTGTATAAAAAAATCAAAGCTTTTTGATATGGTTCATTATGTGTTCCTAAATACTCAAAATCTTAGCCACACCGTTCATCCTTATGCCACTTGCCCACTTTTAAGTAATAAAATTTCAAAGTTTCTCTCTGGATCAAGAATGTTATGGGATTCAACTATCATCATTTTGCTTCACAAAAATATTTTTTTATGGTTTGAATTAAAATTAGCTGATATTTATAATAATATGAATATAACTTCGTACCATTAAAACTATAGATAGGATTGAAGGATCCAATTTTCATATCATGCCTACTATGAAGTTTGGGAAAGTCCTTCCAAATTGGACAAACAGCAGACTGAGAGTTGATTGCAAGGTGAGAAAAAATCGCTACCCGCCCTTCTACTGATTTTGGTATTAATTATCTTTCCAACCTGGGGTGTGGATCAGCATTTACATACATACCATCCAATTCTTATGAAATTACATATCTAACACCAAAATTTTACTTCATTGCAAAAGCTTAAACTATAATTTCACCAATGCATTATTAATCAGCACTTATGATTGACTACATGTCTACATCCCATTTCTCAAGACTATTTCAGCCTCTAGAATTGCTCAAGTTTAGAAAGTATTACTCAGAAACAAAAAATAAGCGCCATGTAGTTCACCAGCAAGGAATATTAAGAACTACTTTACGCTCGAATAAATTTCAATCAAAATCACAGACACAAGGATTGAATAGAACATCATTCAACAAAATTAAACAAAAAAAATAATAATAAAAAAATGTCATTTTGGAATCCTTCGATCATCATCAGTTGATCGTCATCCAACGTCAGTATAAATAGTTTCAACTAATAGCTTCAACAATAGCTCTTGAAGCTGGTGGATGAGGAGCTCCCATGGCCGCAGCGGCTGCTGCTCTTTCTTCTGGACTGAATGGTATTGGTTTGGTAGGGGCCGGCAGGCGGCCGATGCTATCAACCTTATCTCGGATCTTTGGGGGTGGCCTTGCAGCTTTGGGTAACAAACGCCTCTTCTTTTCGAACCATTCAGGATTGAGGAGTGCTCGAAATCCCAGTTTATTGTAATGAACTTTCCTTACAGAACCACCAGTAGCTTCTACTGCTTCTTTTGCTCTGGTTGTTACTCTTGATACCTGCACGTAGGCACATTGTTATTTCACTTTACCGGCAATAGATTGGAGAAAAGAAAATACCTTATATAGTTTAAATACCAAGCATTGGGATCGGTATTTTAATTTTTGGGGCATAGCACACAATTCTTATATATTTACATATATCAACCCTAAACTTTCATATTTACACCCATAGCACACAAATCTTTAATATCACACAAAAAATAACAGTATTACCACTTTTTAAAAGTAAAATACACCTTTAGATGCATATGTTTAAAGGAACAAAATGTTATGTACATAAATATGAAAATTTAGCTGTGAGGTATCTAAATACATAAGAATTGTGTGCTATGTGTGTAAATTTTCCTTTTAACTTTATGTACATCAGCAAATTGGATAAGTAGATTCTGCATGCTTTTACTAAAGAATGGGCAATGAAGATGTTAATAAGAAAATGTAGCGTTTACATGTATTATATGATATTTGCTATAAACTTTGGATTACATAATATGAAAAATGACTACAAATTAACATTTTAAATAAATTTTTTAAATTTATTCTTGATGTGTAAAAATGAGAGATTTATTTTCTTAGTTATTAGCGTGCGCTATATCTGATACAGTTAGTGTGGTTGCCATAGTAGTAAACATGCAAATGCCAAACATAGGAACCTCTTCTTAGGAGATCCTGAAATGGGTTCTTTCCTACTTGAAAGGTTATAAACATTTTTCATTTTAAAAATGGCGACATAAAAATAAAGGATTTTGTTAATGCTGATTTAAGTGATGACTTGAATTCCTAAAGAAGCGCTACACATTATATTTATATATTTGATAACAATGCTATCGAATAGATGTCACAGCTACAAAAGATGGCGGGGCACGGTTCGACAACAAAGGTTGAATATGTTGCAGAGCTACTAAAGCCTACAAAAAATGGTTTGCTAAAGAGCTCCTTAAAAGAGCTATGAACATAACAAGTTCACAACATTCTTCTCTGAGATAGCCAAAATACCATACATCTGGCCATGAATTAAATACTTCATTCTATAATAAAGCATCAACTTGAATCAAACTTTATCCGTGATTTATTACAAGACGGAATCTTAAAGGATCTAAGAATCCGACGTACATATTTTAAAAAATGGTTAAATAAATAAGCATAGGCTTTGCAAAGTTTAAATTAACTTTCATGGATAATTAGGGGTTGCACAAAATTGATTTCTAAAAAATCAAACCATAAAATTAGTATCAAAGTAGGAGATTTAAGTGTAGCACTTTATTTTCCTCTTGAGGATAATATATATTATATATATTGTATTCATGTGCGTTTTTCTATCCTTCCAAAATATAATTTCCTTTTTTTTTTTTTTTTGGATATTTCAAGTGCGGGAGGCCCGACACAAGTGAGTGCGGTGATGCCAGACAGAAGTGCTCACAATAATGTATGTCATGGGAAAGCAGTGCTTTATAAGCAATTTTGGTGGTTAGACTATCCTTTTACAGTAAAGAAAGATACATAATTTTTTTTTTTATTTTTAAATAAACTTTTCCAAGGTTTTTTTTTTCATGCTGCTATTTCATCTTTTATCATTCTTCTCCTAAAAACTTAAATGATGGCGCAAAAGAGAAATGATGTGCTCATCTTAAATTATAAAGAAATATCCTCTGCTCTTAACTGTGAGGAATTCCCCAAGTAGATCTAGAAATGTTTAGAAAAAAATTGACATGATCTAAAAGAATTAATATAAAGAATACTTCTTGAAGAAGGAATTTTTATTGGAAAAAATTTAAATGAACATGTTGATAGTGGTAGAAAATTCTATAACGATTTATGGTGGTTATGAATTTGGAGTTACTAATAAAGAAGATAGAGTCATATTGAATTTTACTTCAGCTTATGATTTTATTAAGGAAAATATATGAGGATATTAACACTTACAAAAATGAATTTAATAAAATACAAATTTATTATTGTCTTATGAGAAACTAGATTGTTGAGATCATAAAAATTGTAAGGTCATTTCAAGAAAAAATTTAAATACCCAACATTAATTATTGATTTTGGAATTTAAGATGAAGAGTTGAAAGATAAAAAATATGATTAAATTTTATCATAAAATTAGATAAGAACACTTAAAAGATGCAAATAAAATTATTTTTATGAGTAAACTTAAATATCTTTCTTGAAGAAGCTAATACTATATGGGATAAAACTAGTATTATTAAGCAAGTTATAAGAGATGTTTGGAGAATAAAAAAAATTGTTATGAACAAAAATAATTAGTGGTAGAATAATCATGTGCAAGAAAAGATAAAAAAATAAGGATTTTTGTTATAAAAATAAGTTTAAATATAAAAGCTTGGAGAATTGAGAAAAATATAAAATGATCCATAGGGACTCTAAGAGAATAATTTGCGATGCTAAGAATTCTATTTTTAGTGGTCTTTATGATAAATTAGATACTAAAAAAAGAGGAAGATACATGTAAAAGCTATCTAAGAAAACATATAAGAAAATAAAGATTTAGTTCCACTAAAGTATATTAATGATGAAAATAAAAAAATAGTTTTCTTAAATGAGGATATTCAACATATGTAGATGAAATATTTTGATAAAATTTTCAACTAAAATTGTAAAAATAAGATCGACTTTAATAATTTTAATATCATAAATAATAACAATTTTTTTTATTTCCACCGCCACATCAGTAAAACGAAAGTTGATAAGACTTTAAGGAAAATGAAGTGTGAAAAAGCTATAAGATGTGATGGTATTCCAATAGAGGTATGAAAGTATTTAGCAAACCTGAGAATTTTTTTCCTTACTAAAGGTTTTAATATTATTTTAAAAATAAAAACGATATCTGATGACTAAGAATAGAAAGTGCAAATTACAGAAGAATTAATTTAATGCGTCATATTTTAAATTATAGGAGAGCAATTAAACATAAGTTATGACATAATACAAAATTTTTTCAAAATTAATTTGGATTACGTCAGAGATCGACTTTATGCTCATATCTAATTGTTTTAGTTATGAATGTTATTACCGAACATTTATAAGAGGATGTAACTTGGTGTATACTTTTCACTGATGGTATCATTCTTGATGAGTAGGCTAGAGAAAAAGTTCAAGAAAAACTTGAATTAGTTTTTAATTCAAGTTTTTAGGGTTTAGGATTAAGTCACTGATGATATCCTCCTTGATGAGAAGGCTAGACAAATAGTTCAAGAAAAATTTAAATTAACTTTATAGGCTTTCATTTGAGTAGATCTAAAACTGAATACATGGAATATAATCTTAATAATCATATATCCAGTGGCAGGGTTGCAACAATATGTGATCAAATATTAAAAGGAGTGAATGTTTTAGATATCTCAGATCTATTACTTAAAGTGATGGTGATATAGATTGGGGGCGTTATTGGTAGAATTCAAATTGGATGGTTAAAGTGGAGGAATGTATCGAACCTATTATGTGATAGAAAAATACTGCTTAGACTTACATAAAAATTTTACAAGGTGTCGAGACCTGCAAAGTTTTATGGCGCAAAATCTTAGGTTGTAAAAGAGAAGCGTAAAATTAAATTAAGTATTGCTAAGATGAGAATGTCAGATGGATGATTTAGTTTACACTAAGAGACACATGCAAGAAGAATATATCTGTGAAAGGGTTGGAGTAGCTCCAGCGCTAGACAAGATTAGAGAGTCTCCTTTGATAGTCTGGTCATATTAAACATCGACCATTTGATGACCCAGTTAGTAAAGTAGATGTTTAGATTTGAGTTATGTTAAGAAAGAGATAGACCTAAAAGACTTGGGTAGGGCATCTTGTACAAAAATGATCTTAATTTATTAGAATTAAATGAAAATGACACTCAATAGGAGGTGGAGAAAAAGGATTTATGTAACCGACCCCACTCATTTTTTTAAAGGCCTATTGTCGTTGTATCACATGTGAGACATTGTCTAAATCAACTAACTTATTGCATCTTTTGTGTTGAGTTTTGCGATATTATTTTTATCCCACCTCTTTCTGTCCATTATTTTCCTAAAAAGTGGGCAAAAGCATAGATATGGGAGATGAAGGGCAAAGAGTAAGTTAGAGAAGTAAAGCAATAGTAACCCAGGTTAAATATTAATTGGGAAATGTTAAAATTCAGGAAATAATTGATGAAAATGACATTCAAGAGCACTATTGGCAACTTAAGTTCTGATTTACATATAAAAAATGCTATGAAAGCCAAAGTTTAATGGAATACATATATTCATTTACTAGAATTACAACAAACTTTTCCGGGAATATAATTTTGAAATGATTTTCTTTTGTAAGAAATAGGATATGGGATTAGGATTTAAGAAGATAATACAGTATCAAATATCAATCAGATTCGGGCGAGTAGCTCTTTCTTAGGTCCTCATAACAAAATTTAACAAAATAAACTGGAGTTTTATGTAATCTGCTAGAAAATTAGGATTGTTTTCAAATTATGAGTCTGTTTTTTTGTGATTTTCCTACTAAAAAGCTCAATGCCATTTAGCATAATATCCAAAGAAAATCACAAAAGCATCTATACATGACAATATATATATATATATCAACTTTAAAGAACAATATCAAACGATCACTATTTTTTGGTTGATAAAGAAAATGAAACTCACTTCTAGGTGAATTGGCCATTTGATGAGTTCAGCGCCACGGCCCATCAGCTTAACACCATCCTTGATCTGCTTTCCTATAGCACTTGTTTCCTGCAGTAACACAAAATTATAATTTAATCAACTCAAACCAAAAAATATATATATGTTAAAGGGACCATAAACATAAAGCAAATATTGGAACCTTAAGGGTTTTCATTGTAATAAGTTCTGATGAGTCTATCTTGCCTGCATTGATGAGCTTTGCAATTTTCCCCAGTCCAACTGGCTATTCATCAAAAAAGAAAATGCAAAATCACTCATAGGAGGCAATAGATACAATCTGTACAAATTAGTTGCAAAAATTGTCAATGATTGCAATTAGGAAAGAAGGCAATTGCGGTTATTATAAATTTATTTCATTTTTTTAAAGTTGGACAACAGCTTTCTATCAAATTTGACATGGTTATAAGAAAATTTTTCTTATCGTAGAAATTTATTAAAAAATAGCAAGAAATTTATAGCGATATAAAAGTACAATAGAAATTTAGGGGGAAAATAACAAAAACAAAAACAAAAAACCTACCCCAAATGGCCCTAAATCCCTATCAGATAACTGTTTATCTCCTTATGACACTCCCCTGTAATTGGTATAGAAATGGGCAATGTGAACCGTTAGTTCTCAACCTTCTCTCTAGAATCTTGTTGAATTTTCTTTTCTGTAAGCATTTCACGTTCTTAATTAAATAGAAGTAAATGCTTGTGTAAGCTAAAGAAATTCTCTGAATCTAAAACAAGTAGAATTATTATTTAGGTATAAACTTTTCTTTGGAAATCAAATTTCCCTGAAAAATTCTATAATATTAAAATACAACATAATTGTAACTGAACTTATCATAGTGCTTGAAGACACCTAGGCAACAATCTAATTATAAAATTTAACATTTTTTTTTATTTACGAAAGATATGAAATAGTAAATCAGAATAATTAATCCAATGCGCTTAAAAGTTTATTAATGAACAGATGGTGAAGACAAGAATTACAATTCGCCATAACAAATGACAATCGATAATTTCTTGAAGAGTATGCTGCTAGTAGAGCCTTTCATAATGAGTATTTTTAGCCATTAATAAAGTCCTTTGAAGAACAAAATAATACAAGATAAACTATAAGCACTAGGCATCATGAGACTTTTTCATCATTTGTCATAAATCAGGGTTGACTTCAAGAACCCCCTCTTCATGGATGATTTTAGATTTATTGAATCAAAGAATTACCCATGTGCCAGTGTTAAACTATTGTGTTTAAAGTTAGATGCTCGCTTAAAAAATTATTTAAAAAAAGCCACAAGGATTTAATAAAAAAAAAGGTTTCCACAAAAGCTCAAAGAATAGCTCCAAACTTTTCGCTGAACAGTAAATTTTTGCCAAGAAATACATGACTCGTCACCCCATAAAATCTTCATGACCTATATTTTATGAATCTTTTTCCACAGCTTCAGATTTATATTTTCATCATTTCCAAATTCATAAATAACTTTATGAACCCTTTTTCACCATTGATTCACGCTGGAAGTTACCAACACAAGAAAAATCATTCAAGTGGCTTGCATGAAAATTTATTTAGCATTCCGGCTAAATGACCACTTTCTCACCCTTCATTATTATTAAGAGCTAAATACAAGTTAAATTTAGTTTAGTAAAATCAGTAACCCTAGAATTAGCGCATTACAAATGCAACCTACAATGACATTAATGAAACATATGCAAATTCATGAACTGGTTACCAACTCTTAACGTCAGCCAAAAAATCATTATTTTTAATTTACAAGCAACAAACATGCTTTCTTTCATTCCAAAAGAATACCTAATAGTCATCAAAATACTAAAATTCTACAAGAAAAAAAAGACCAGTAATACATTTTAATAACATTAAGTTTGCATTTCAAAAATAAATTTTGGAACATATATTGGTAGACAAAATTTCAATCAGTAGAACCAGTGAATAAACAATTTAAGATAGGAACAACGATAGAAATAAGCCATATGAAGAACCAAACCTCATGTTTGTATGAGAGTCTCGTCCACATAAATAGTTATCCACGACTATGAATAACTTGGTCATCCAAAACTATGAATAACTTGGAAGAATGCCCATCCAAAACTATCTAAATACTCAATCTTCACTAATTTTTATGTCCTTTTGGGGGTCCTATTTATAACCTACAAATGATCCAAAATAAGAAACTTCTCAAAATCTGTCATGATCTATTCAAATTATCAATGCACCCTACATGAATTCTAATATAAGAAAATCCTTCTATAAGATCGAATTCTTGATTTGCTCAAGATAATAAAACATGAAAGAAGCAGCAGCAAAATACAAATAGAGGCGATCCAACACTATGGTAAATTCTGGATTGCAGACTATGATGAATGTTAGAATAGAACCAAAATACTTCTTATTGATACAAAGAGGGGTATATATACCCCAAAGAGGGGTATATATACAAAGAGGGGTATATATACCCATTACAAGATCAACTAGAAATGAAAAAATTAAACTCAAGATATAATAGAAGGGGAAAGAAACTAAATATAATAGAAAAAGGAAGGAAATCAAATGAAATAACTCAGAATTATCAGAATAAAATAATCGCTATTACTAGCTATTAAAATATTCTAATACAACAAGCCTGTAGTAACAAAAAAATTGTAGATAAGATGACCGAGGCATTAATAGGCAGGAGACAAACAAATAGAGAATGCAGAAGCAAACAAGGTTGCAATAGTGAAATTGCAGAAACATAATGTCAAAACATGAACATTATCGAGGCATTGTTTATAACAAATCCCTAAATTTATCAAGCATGCATACCAGCATGCACAATTCTAAAAGATTCAAATAGCTCTTCACTTCTCATTGTCCAACAAAAACTCCTTATGCACACATTCAATATCAATAGTATCATAAGAATTTTTAAAATAGAAATTAAAAAAAAAAACAACCAATACTTCATATTTCCCGTGGCTTCAGAATTTTTATTCAACACATATGACTTGGTATTACCAACACCATCATAAATGATGAGATGTAAATGACATTATTTCATTCAAACTTACTGTCATAAATACATCACATATAAAAAAAGTTTAAAATAACACAAAAAAGAAAGGTTGATGGCATAGTTCATCTTCAAATCTCCTCGGTTGGATAAGAAACAAATCATTAAATTTTAAATTCAATATAGCTTTGTGAATCCTTTTAAAAAACTTTTAATTAAGATAAGCATGCCCTTATTCCTCCCGATTGTTCCTTATAAAATCTATTCTCTCCTTTATAAGTAGCCTTTTGAGTTCCACTATGTACTTAAGAACCAATCCAACTTAATAACCATTACATAAACCATACGAGCTGTAATTCTCCTGAGCTTAATGTAAAATGCCATAGGGTTTAAGATTTATTAATGTAACTTAGGACGAGGTGCACTGTGAAGCACGCAAGAAGCCACAATTAATAGGTTAACACCTCTCAACTTAAAAAAAGAGAGGTCATCTTTAAAAGAAAAAGATAAACATATTTATTTTATTTCAAATAACAATGTAAGTTAACAAAATCTGAAATCATCACAAGATAAACTAAGAACAAATATAAAATTCAGACGACCAAGATCACACTACAAAAAAAATACATAAGGTAACAAATTTTATAAAAATTCAAGCACACACTCAAATCGACTAATAAGCAAATTAACAAAAAAGAACGATGTTAGAAAACACATAATAGTAGATCTAAGCATCACGTTGATACAAGGAGTTTCTTCTCTCTAAAGTGCACACCAATACTCATGGAGCACTTGAAGAATCCATATCCAATTGCACACACTAAAAAAATTTGTGGAGAGTAAAAAATAAAATTTCACTACTCAATACTCCATGAATTTTATATATTTTAAGGCCATTATATGCAGCTAACAATGGACCCAAAAAAAATTGCAGTTTTCATTTAAGTATATTTGAATTATAGTGAAAGGAAAAGGTTTTCAATCCAAGTTTTAGCAAAAATAAAAGGGGTACATTTTCAAAATTAAAAACTCATTCCAACAATTCCTACATAGCCTATTTTCTCCATCTACAATGGAATGCCAACAAGAAAAAAAAATCACTAGTCAAAAAGTGCTACAACACCAATAAGAAAAAGCAAGAAATGGAAGGTTTCCACATGCATGCTATATCTAGGGAAAAGAGGTCATAGAAGGAAAACTAAGGAAAATTTGTAGATTGTGTGGTATAGTCCAAAAAATACAGTTAAAGACAAACTTTAGACACGAGAAAACTACTGAAGACAAAAAATAAAATGCTGGGAAAACTAATAAATACAAAACTATAAGGTGCTCAAGTGATGGGATACAAAATTAACCAATTATGGAAACATCAGGCGGAACCCCTTGATTTTAGTGGCTTACTAAAAAAATATAAAAAACGCAATAGAAGAAAATTACTAAGAAGCTGTTAAACTTAACAACACAGTAACCACCAAATCAATCTCAAAATAAAATATTGGATAATTGTTGAAACATGGAATTAAAAAGTACTAACTAGGGAGTCCAAAGGCTGAATCAAAAGGATGTATAATGGTAAACTAAAGCTAAAGAGATAATCAAACACTAGAGAACATAAGTTTCTTTCAATTGGAGCATCATCATGGGCATAGTTTGTACTAAATGTAGGAAACCAACAACCATGAAATGAGCAACAAAAATACACTTATTATGCATTTCCAGAAAATAAAGACTTTTAGATTTAATTTGAGGCCACTGCATGTTCTCTAATGTAGCTTCCAACTTAGATCCATCAAGCATGTATACCATCATGCCAATTTATAAAAATTCAAATAATCACTATCTTCTATTCTGTTCATAAAAAAATCCCTATGCACACATCAAATATCAATTGTATCATCAGATCTGAAAATAATAAATGAAAGAAACCACCGATGCTTCATATTGATCAATGGATTGTGAAGCTTTATATAGCACATAAGTCTGGGTACAATCAGCACAATAATACATGCCGACCTGTAGATCCTATTATTTCACTGAATCCTATTGATCAATACCTAGGTTGCATAAGAAACATGCCTCAAGATATTATAAATATAACCCCACTTGCACAAGTTGGTATAGAATTAAAACATAAAACCATATTAATATTCAAAGGAATGGGTAACATCCGGATGAGTCCTAGCTTCCTAAGATCATCGGACATTGACTTAAATGAGGTTTAATCCGACATGATATTGGAAGAAAAAAGAGTGATGAATCTGGCTGATTAAACTAGATCTTTTTGGCTCGCTGCAACAAGTTCAATTTTAACTTCAGAATTTATCAGCAAATGCTGATTGTGGATCAAAAAATTTAATTATAGGAATTAGATTAACAAATCAAATTTTATAAGCTAAACACTAAAACTCATGGCAATCTGAAAAACTGCAGTTTCAGGATAATGAAAATCAAGTATGACCAATTTTCTTTAAATAATATCCAACACCAAATTAGTTCCAAAATAAATTCAACGTCCCATTATATCGAAAAGCTCTCATTATTGATTAACTTCGGAACAGGCGAGGCAAATACCTCGCAAATACAAGCAAACTAGATTCAATTTAGGGCACATTGCATATAGATATAAAATGTGGCTTGGGGCTCATTTAATTGCTTGTCGATATAAAAGATTCATAAAAAATGTGATGTTTTTAAAAAGAAAAAATTTAAAACAACAGGTTTAAACTTTTCATGGACTTAATTATAGGTGTTTGCAAGTTTAAAACACATTGACTTCTAACTACAAGTCTACAACCAACCTAAGGATGATATATAGCAAACTCATTGCTTTTTTTAAGAAAAAAAGGCACATTGATGTTGAGATCAGTGACCTGGAAGGTAAGGCTAAATGGATTCTTGAACCCGCGCTTAGGCAATCGGCGGCGCAGTGGAGTCTGGCCACCCTCGAATCCTAGTTTTACCCCTCCCCTCGCTCTCTGACCCTTATGACCTTTCCCAGCCGTCTTACCCTTGCCGGATCCGATTCCACGCCCCTTCCGCTTCTTCTTCTTCCTCGCCCCCTTATTATCCCTTAGATCATTCAGCTTCAACAGGCTTATTGTCGCCGGCGATGAACCCATTGCAGTGCTGAATGACGCCTGTAGCAAGCCATTGGAAAACGAAAGAGGAGATGGAACAACAGGAGCTAGGTTTTCGGCTAGTTGGCGGATGGAAGAATTGACCGGTATAGGGATGGAACCAGTGAGGCGAATGGGAAGTCTGGAGAGGAGAGAGGCGCGCTTCCACATGACTGCACAGTTGGAGCTATGCAGGGCTTTGCTTCGACCAAGCCATGAACGAAGTGCTTTAGGCCGAGCCGCTCGTGCAAATTTTGTTGTTATATATATATATATATATATATAATATGCTAAGGGTTCAAATTATAATAACATTTTAAAATTTTAAAAATAATATTAGTTTTCAACCCAAAATGTCTTTCGGGCCGTGTCCAAGGATAAAGCTTTGGTCGTATGAGAGGAATGAGGAGACAATAGAGAGGGAGAGAAAGAGAATGAGAGAGTAACAAACAAATAGTACTAATTTTTTTAGAATAAATTTAATAATTTCTTAAAGAGATGACTCCTCTATTTATATATTATAGAAGGAGTCTAGTAAATATCATGTTTGTCACTTAATAGAAACATTACAAGTGATTCATCAATCATTACATGTTTAAATATTTGTAACTGATCCCGACATCTTTTAACCATGGTAATTACTGTTGGCATTCTTTCGAATTTGAAACTGTTACTGAAATTGTTTCGTATTAATAAATGTTTGACTTGGTCACTTTATCTTCATTCAATGAACTAAAGTTTTTTGGTTGGCAGATAGATCTTCGGTTAGCTTCCTGAAGGGAATCATTATGGGAGACTTATTCTCAGAAAGTGTTTATTCCATCAAATAGAAGGAGTGCGTCATCGTAATCTGATGAACAATCTTCCTTCACACGAGGAAACTTCATAGAAAGTCGAAGGGGAGTTCAACTGAGTGGTTGTTGATCTTCTTCGTGAGTGTTCTAGCATTAGTTGAGTTGTCATTGGTGCAGGTGTATAACGTTCGCTGGTTCGAATGTACTTTCATTAGGTTGGCCCATGACATGACCAAGTGAAGTGGTGATTGGTGTTATCCTCTTTGTGCATATGTTGAATTTCTTCAAGATTCATGGTCAGATTTTTTATGTGCAAATAGAATTAACAATTTGCATTTTTTTAATAAAATTTAGTGTCTTTTATTATATTATGAATAAATATATGAATTTGTTAGCGCATTTTAAATATATTAGTTGATTTGTAATTAATGAAATTTTGATGTTACAAATGTACTTCACCCATATGAATAAATGCATAAGAAATTTACATTTTGAGTTGATTGTAACTCACTTCAATCTGGACTTGATGTGTGACGATCAAAACAAGCACTTCTTCAAAATCGGAAATATTTTAAAATTTTAGATAAAAATTATCACAGTTTGTCTAAATTAGAATAAAAGATTGAAATCTAGAAGTGCAGTCGATACTGATTGCAGCAGGTGCTGATTTATAAATTAACGGCAACAAGTAATCGTTGCTGCTTATGTCCCTGATTGAGTAATAAAACTGCTGCTGTGAGCATATTCTCATAACTCTTATCCATTCAAACAACACAAACAAGTCATAATTGCAAGAACAAAGTAATACAAGCTCATTATTGAAATGAAAAAAAAAACCTTTGTACACGAAAATTTGTATTGCACAGATCTTAACAAAAAAGAAAAAAGTCAAATTTAAGCGAGAGCACTCTAATCCAAAATTGTCCACGAAAATTTATATTGCACAGATCTTAACAAAAAAAAAAAAACAAATTTAAGCGAGAGCACTCTAATCCAAAATTGTCCAAACAATGGCACTTTAAAATATTTAAAATAGTGTCATTTACAGACAAACCACCAAATTCCTGATTATTTACATGTCTAATATCTAAACTTTACTTTTTTTTTTATATTTATACCACCCAAATCTTTCACATCACATAAAAAATACCCGCATTTTAACTTCTAAAAAGTGAGATGCACCTTTTCATGCATTCATAAGGCGACTTATATGTAAAAATTAAAATTTAGGAATTGAATATGTAAATTCATGGGAATTGAGTGGTATGTGAGTAAATTTTACAATAAAAGAATGAAAAAAATGCTCATATTATAAAAGAATCATCGATGTTGTGACCCAAGGCCAACTTGAACAAATTATTTACAAGTAATATTCCTATACTTTTATCCAAATGGGCAGCACAGGGAAACTGAACAAAGTTCAAACATTGTGAAGCAAATATAGCCTTCTAATTCAGCCCTTTGCTCCATTATTGTTGCTCTTCTTCATGGAAGATGAGCAGCCCTTGGATCCATTATTGTTGCTCTTCTTCTTGGATGGTGAACCGACGACACCAACGACTGAGTCGCATACTTCTCCAGCCGGAAAAATATACTTCTCCTGAAGTTTCTGCCTGTTTTGGGCCCACCATGCCTCTGCTTTCTCTTCACTGAACCATTTCCGGCTGCAAGATTAAGCAAATATGAAGTTCTTATCTAATATCCTGAAAATGTTCCACACTGACTGGCTGCCTAGTTATTGATATAAGTAGGATTAAACTTTAATTTTCAGTGATAGAAAAAATGTCAACTTTTATATCCTGGAGTTAAAAATCCAAATTTTTCTCTATTTCTTCTCGGTTTTATCTTAAATCACGGATTTACTAATTTGTTACTAAACAGCCCCTAATATTATTAGTATAGGGCTCAACTAAGGTATTGCAATTGAGAGCTTATGGTATTCCTATTCTAGTGAAGAAATTGTCACCATATACCATCTTATTTTTATTTTTGTTATATGTTTTCTCCTCCTCTGGAGATTCTTTATAATCATCTCATTTTGCACCATATCATTAACTTATTTTATAAAACTATGCTTTAAGAAAGAAAAGAAGATGCTCTACCTGAAGCGTATCCTCTTGAGGATTTTTGCACCACAAGGAGAAGATGAAACAGTTATATATACGCCTCCCTCGGCATGCTCAACCCATTCTGCAGCTTCTGAAGTACCAGAAGCAGTAGACGGCAATGAGTCGCTAATGTGCCCATTTGAGTCTTCGACATGCATGCCTCGAAGGCTGCTGGATTTCATTCGAGTTGTTGACTTCAATTCATGGGATGCATGCGAGACATTAGTTTCGGAGTGAGTGTTCATATTTTGTTCAGATGTCCTTTCAGTCACATCCTTCAACTACAAAATGTCAACATATAAATTAAAACCAACACAGGGAGGATGATGAATAGTTGACCAAAACAGGGTGGATGATGAAATAGATGATAAAGATCTACTGACAAATGAAAATAGTAATGAAGTGTCAAATTTTTTGGCTAAAACACACACAAAACTACATAAAAACTCAACTAGTATGTTCTCATACAAAAGAGAAGTAATAACCTGTGCGGTAAGAAACTCTATAATTTCCTTAGCAGCCTTGCATTTTACATTTTCCTCATCTACTTTTGTCATTGCTTCTTTCAGCTCAGCTGATTTTTTCTCAAATTCGGACTCCATTTTTTGATACTTTTGTGTAAGATCCTCAAGCTGCAAAGAAGAATTCCGCAAGGCCAAAACTATATAAATTCAAAAAATAATTAAGAATATGAAAACATTTCAAATGCAAAGAATGAACAAAACTCTTTTGATGGCATTTAAAATACCTGCACGTTGAATAAAAGTTTTAATAAGAGGCCAAAAGTGGTAGTCAATCATGACAAAATAGAAAGGTCATTAATTTTACAGACTAAACTAATTAAATTCATCATTAATGAGAGTAACCATGAAAAAATATGTACAAGTGGTATAAACTCGTATTTTGAGGTAAACATGTAAGTTCCCTTGCAGATATTTCATTGTTTAAATTCGAAAAAGAAAATACAAGTGGTATAAACTAGGAATAATATCCAACAAAAATTTTATCTTTTTCTTCCTCTCACGGAAAGCAAAAAATAGTACAGCATTTCTATTTTGTCATAGTCTGAAATATCATGTAGAGCTTTTATGCCACGAAAATTTACGATGGTATTGATTCAGTGCTACGTATTAGATTTGTAACAACAATCCCTAGCCGTTATTACTTATTATTAGTTTTTATTTCCTTATTATATTTTTTATATTTGTTTTTTTTATGTTTTATTTCTTTCCTAGTTGTTTTATTCTATTTTATTTTTTTCATTTATTATGTCTATTGTACTTGGGTTTAAATACCTTTTTTTGCATCAATAAGACTGAGCTGCTCTATTCCAAATCTTAACATGATATCAGAGCCTAACCCTAGATCTAGCAGCCACCGGTCCCCTCTGCCGATTCCAACAGTAGCCACCTCCCCCCCTCTGCCAGGTCCCACAGTTGCAGCTTCCTCCTGTACGCAGGCTCCTTGATTCCAACAGCCACAGGTCCCGTGGTGCCTCTGTTCAGCACAACAGTCAGCCTTCTGCTGCAGATTCCAGCAACCGCCGGTTCCAGCAAGCCATCAAGCTCCTCAGCTCCTGCTGTCGCCAATTTTGCAAGAAGAAGAACTGCAATTGTCCAGCGCCAATCTTCCCTGCAGGTGTCCAGATTCCCACTGTTGTATCCGTTTGTTGTGATCCTATCAAAATTTATCAATGGCTTAGAATCACAACATCTCCTTGAGCTCAGTTGAAATTATGACAGATTCCTCCAACAATGAACCACACTCAGAAAGTGTTCATGACGCCATCGGATGATCGACTCCAACCTCCGCTCCCTTGCAGAACAGAAGACCAAAAGCCAACATGAACTTCTTGATCACAGATCATAAGTTGAACGACAGTAACTTTCTCCAATTGTCCTAAGCGGTGTCCTTGTTCATCAAAAGATGTTGAAAGTTCGATCACCTCACAGGTATGATTCGTGAGTCTCCAAAGATTGACCCAGCATATGAAGCTATGGAAGTAGAGAACTTTATGGTCATGCCATGATTTATCAACTCCATCGAGACCTCAATTGGTCAATTAAACATGTTCCTCCCTTCAGTTAGTGCTCTTTGGATGGGTGTCTGTGATACCTATTTGGATGTAGGAAACTCCAACCAACTTTATGAGGTATCTAAGAAAATTCGCGAGGCAAAACAAGGGGTCAAGGACCGTGACCTAGAACGACTACACTTGGGATTCTACGGACGACTTATCCCACTTCCAAAAGATTGTAGAAAAGGATCGTATGTTTCAATGCCTGAATAGCCTTAAGAAAGGCCTTGAAGAAGTTCGGAACTGTATTCTTGATCGGGATCCTCTTCCTTCAGCTCACGTTGCTTTCACCAAGATTCGTCGAAAAGAAAATAAGAGACTTGCCATGCTCGACACTTCTACTCCTTCAGCCAAATCGTCCGCCTAGATCTCAAATAGTGCTCAACTCTCATTTATGCCACCTCAGACCTATCACCACACTTGTGATTACTGTCACAAACCAAACCACACTAGGGATAAGTGTTGGAAACTTCACGGTAAGTCGGCATATAAACCTTCGGCCAAATCCTCGGCTGCTAAGGGTCTCACGGCGATGGCCGAGCCTACCGGGGCTCAACCAACTCTTACTTGAAACATCATGAAATCCTTTGAATCATTGAAAAACCAGATGGAGCAATTAATCAAGCTTCTTGAAGTCAATCAAGTCTCTGCAAGTCCGTTGATCTCCCACGTCCGACAAGGTACTCTTTTATTGGCTCACACAGTCTATTCCTCTTATAGCCCGTGGATTATTAATTCAGGAGTCATGGAACACATGTCTCGCTACTTGTAAGCTTCTCGACCTACCATCCGTGCTCTGGAAAAAGATACAGTCATAATTGTTGATGGATCATGTAGTTCAATTGTTGGTAAAGGGTCGGTTGTACAAATGACTGATCTAATTTTGGAGTTTGTTTTACATGTTCCCTTAATGCAATGTAATTTGTCATCTGTCAGCAAGTTGACAAATGATATCAATTGCGTTGACAATTTCTCTAATGCCGGTTGTATTTTTCAAGGTCATCATTCGAAGTGGATGATTGGAACTGCTAAGAGGATAGTTAGATCCCACGTCTGACTACTTATAAGCTTTCTCGACCTACCATCCGTGCTCTGAAAAAAGATGCAATTATAATTGTTGATGGATCATGTAGTTCAATTGTTGGTAAATGGTTGGTTGTACAAACGACTGATTTAACTTTGGAGTCTGTTTTACATGTTCCCCTAATGCAATGTAACTTGTATTTGTCAATAAGTTGACAAATGATATCGATTGCATTGACAATTTCTCTAGTGATAGTTGTATATTTCAGGATCATCGTTCGGGGTGGATGATTGGAACTGCTAAGAGGGTAGTTAGACTCTACTACTTCCAAGAAGAGAACATGGAGAGTGAGGACACACCACTCAGAAGTTGTAGTTTATCTTGAGTCATTGAATGTCCCATTATGTTGTTGCATTGTCGTTTAGACCATCCTATTTTTCAATATTTAAAAATTTGTATCCTTTGATGTTTTATAATGAAAATCTCTCTAACTTCAGTTGTGACACATCTTAAGTATCCAAACGTTATCACATCCATTATCAGCCCCACACTCACCTTCGACTTCTTTCTCCCTCATTCACATTGACATATAAGGACCTCGCACTTTCAGCTACATCAATAAACGGTGGTTCTTAATTTTAATTGATGACCACACTCGAATGACGTAGGGTCTACCTTTTAAAAGACAAATCGAAAGTTGTTGTGACCTTCCAAAACTTCCACACATTTGTGTTAACTCAATTCAAAACTCCTATTCAGGTCCTTCAGACCGACAATGGTCGTGAGTTTTTTAACTATATATGGTGAATTTTTTGGGTGAATTCTTGGTAAATAAGGACATCCTCCACCATAGTTCTTGCATGGACATTCCTCAACAAAATGAGACAACCGAGAGAAAAAACTGTCACCTTCACGACGTTACTTGCACCATTATGTTTCAATCCAATGTTCTGAAAATGTTTTGGAACGATGCCATTTTAATTGCCACCTATCTCATTAATAGTCCCCGCTAAAATTCACAAGTTTCAAACCCCCTTAGCCGTCCTGATGTCATGCTTCCCTGCCAATTAGGGTGGATGATGAAATAGTTGATAAATATCTACTGACAAATAAAAATAGTAGTAAAGTGTCAATTTTTTTGGCTATAACTCACACAAAACTACATAAAAACTCAACTAGTATGTTCTCATTCAAAAGAAAAGTAATAACCTGTGCGGTAAGAAACTCTATAATTTCCTTGGCAGCCTTGCATTTTGCATTTTCCTCATCTTTTTTTGTCATTGCTTCTTTCAGCTCAGCTGATTTTTTCTCAAATTCGGACTCCATTTCTTGATACTTTTGTGTAAGCTCCTCAAGCTGCAAAGAAGAGTTCCGCAAGACCAAAACTATATAAATTCAAAAAATAATTAAGAATATGATAACATTTCAAATGCAAAGAATTAACAAAACTCTTTTCACGGTATTTCTGTAAAACACCTGCACGTTGAATAGAAGTTTTAATAAGAGGCCAAAAGTGGCAGTCAATCATGACAAAATAGAAAACAGGAGGAGCTCATTAAGTTTACAAACTAAGCTAATTAAATTCATCATTAATGAGAATAACGATGAAAAAATATGTACGAGTGGTATAAACTCGTATATTGATGTAAAAACGTAAGTTCCCTTTCAGATATTTCATTGTTTAAATTTGAAAGTGAAAATACAAGTGGTAAAAACTAGGAATAATATCCAGCATGCAACAAAAATTTTATCTTTTTCTTCCTTCCACGGAAAGCAAAAAATTGTACATCATTTCTATTGTCATGGTCTACAATATCATGTAGAGCTTTTATGCCATGAAAATTTACGGCGGGATTGATTCAGTGCTAAGTATTAGATTTATAATGGCAATCCTTAGCCGTCATTACTTATTACTAGCTTGTATTCCCTTATTATGTATTTTCTATATGCTTTTATTATGTTTTATTTCTTTCCTAGTTGTTTTATTATATTTTATTTTTTTTATTTATTATGTCTATTGTAATGGGTTTAAATAACCTTCTTTCTATCAATAAGATTGAGCTGCTCTATTCCAAACCTCAACATGATATCAGAGAAAACTGATCGCAGGTTCCTTGATTCAAGCAACCACAAGTCCCGCGGTGCCTCTGTTCCAATACAGCCGCCAGCCTTCCTATTGCTGATTCCAGCAATCGCCGGTTCAAGCAAACCGTCGCTCTCCTCAGCTCCTGCTGTCGCCAGTTTTGCAGGAAAAAGTATTGCAGTTTTCCAACGCCAATCTTCACTACAAGTGTCCTGGTTCTTGCAGTTGTATCTGTTTGTTGTGATCCTACATGAATTCATTAATGGCTCAGAACCACAACATCTTCTTGAGCTCAGTCAAAATTATGGCAGATTCCTCCAACAAAGAACCACCCTTAGAAAGTGTTCATGATGCCATCGGAGGACCGACTCCAGTCTTCGCTCCTCTGCAGAACGAAAGACCAAAAGATAACATGAACTTCTTGATCACAACTCATAAGTGGAACGATAATGACTTTCTCCAATGGTTCTAAGTGGTGTCCTTGTACATCAAAGGACGGGGAAGTTCGATCACCTCATAGGTATGATTTGCGAGCCTCCAAAAATTGACCCGACGTATGAAGCTTGGGAAGTGGAGAACTCCATAGTCATGCCATGGTTGACCAACTCCATGGAGACCTCAATTGGTCGTTCATTTCAGTTAGTGCTCTTTGGATGGGTGTCTGTGATACCTACTTGGATGTAGGAAACTCAGAAGGCAAAACAATGGTCAAGGACCGTGGCCCAGTACTATAATGATTTGTTGCACTATGGATAAAATGTGACATGTACCACGACTCCACTTGGGATTCTATAGCCAACCTATCTCTCTTCCAGAAGATTGTAGAAAAAATCTTGTAATTAGATCTCTGAGTATGTTGCATAAAATCAAATTTCTTAATATATAATGTTCATATTTATTACTTATATAATCAAACAGAAGTTGAGTATGATACACTTTATCACATATGAAGTAATTTTTGTGAAATGTTTGTACTGTAGAAAAACTATCTACTACGATTCATGTTGGCGAAGAGTCGGAGACATGATACTCTATGGAAGGAGGGTAGATAGAATTTATTTTAAATGAGTTAGCGGTATAAATATGATATAGGTTGAAAGTTATAACAGATAAATATGATAAGATATGAGTGACGGCTGACTGAGGATAATGACTCTCTGTTGACCTCATTTTTTAGGTCATTTCTTTTTCTTAGGGTCTTAGGATCTAGCTCTAGGAGTTCCTATTAACCATCGTAGAAAACTAGAATTGGGACCCACCATTTTTAGAAATTCCAAAACACTTCATATTTTCCTGTGATGTCTAGCATTTATGGTCTCAAAGCCATCGTCTTATGTACAAGCGGTTAAGGGCTATTATGTGAAGACTCAAAGAGAAGTTCCCAATAGGACCTCAAGCCCTAGGAAAATTTCCTCACGACTTTATCGTCACATACACACACCAAATACACAAAATTTACAAAATTGCAGAAGGTCGGACACCAACGTGTCCGGGACACCAATTTTAGTAGGAAAAGACACCCATATTGCCATTTTACGACTAAAGAAAATTTGCATGCAAATCGATGAATTCATCAAAATGGCCTCTGACAGCGGAACGGACCGCATCAGCGTGTCTGGAACGTCAAAATTACCTAAAAAGGACATCCATTTTGTTATATTGTGACGCACGAATAAAAATTAATAAATCAAATTTTATTTTTGAAATATTAAATATTTTTATACTTATATCATTATTTATAATAAAGTTTTTAACACCTAAACTCTATTTACCCCTTTCCCTCACACTTAAACTCCCCACTCAATACCGCGGCTCGATCAAAGCCTGGCTCGCCACTCGTGGGCTCGCCACTCGTGCCCTAGCTCTCGAGTCTCTTCTGTCATTCGCGAGAAGCCTCGCCTCCGCTCCCGTGATCGGCTGCACGCGAGGCCGCTCGAGTGGAACCCTAGTTTCCATGAGCTCCCCATAGCTCGACTCTTCTTCTGCGCAAGCCGCCCGATAGAGCGGCTCGCCAATCGCGAGCCTGCCTCCTGGGTGACTCTTCCTCAACCCTAGGCCGCATTTCCTCCGCTCTAAATGCATTTCTCCTCTTCCTTTACCTGCTTCGGCTACCAGGGAGGTTGGTAGGTGGCTTCTCCTCTCTCCTTTCTTTGCTATAAAATGCCCCAGTTTGGGGAGGTCTAGGGCTGGCCGAAATTTAGAGAAGAGGTGGAAGTGCTGCCAAAATTTCATCTAATCTCTTTGGTTGGATTTTTTTTTTCTTTTCTTGCTCTTCTCATCTTCTATGTGCTTGGGTCTTTTGGAGCTCTGTTGGTTTTGGAAGAGAAGTCTTGCCAAAATCTTCTAAGTTAAATTCTCGTGTGCTTGGAGCTGAGGAATTGTGGGTGGCTGTTTGTGTGAGGCTTTTAGGAAGGATTTCTGTGGGAGTATTTTTCTTGAATCTGTTTTACAGTGCTTTGCTTTAAGTCTGCTGAAAAGAGGTATTCTTCTCCTCTCCTCTATTTTTATAATATTTCAGATGGCATAAAAATATTTCCTATCTCATGTAGAAGCAAGATTTGGGTATGTTTTAAGATTTAAGCATTTGAAATCTTTTTGGGGGAGGGAACACTTTACTATTCAAAGTTGTTTCTATTTATGAAATCTAAAAGCACTTTGTTATTTTATTTGCAAAGATTTATAGCTTTCATACTTATGTTTTGCAAAATCTGAAACTTTGGGTGGCTGATTTGTGAGAATCTGCAATTATCGGGTGGCCTATTTGTCAAAATCTGAGAAAAAAAACTTTGGTGTTTTATTTTTGCAAAAGTCTGAAATGTTTTATGTGCAAGTGGCAAAGATTGGAAAGTTTTGGATGACATGTAAATGTACATGGGTAGTGAACAACATCTAATTTGGAGATAACTATTTCATTTGATTCACCTATGCTTGTTGCATTGATCTCTTCTGTTCCAAACAACATGTAATTTGGAAAGTTTACAAGCATGCCCCTTTATTCTTTTGCTATTACATATCTAACACCTAAACTTTCATTTGTTTATGCATGCTAGCCCTTATATGATAAAGTTGTTGTTAAACCTATAAGTGCACAGGAACTTGAATGCCGAGTATGTAACTTTATACTTGAGAATGAGGTACTTGAGAATGAGGAATCATAAAGTCATAAAACGGTTGTGTTTAAATACGTTTAATTTCCTTTCATATAATGATGAAATGGTGTATGTGCTGTATACTTGAATCCAAGAAATACTTATACCTATGCAATACTTGAGCCAAATGTGCACACATTTAGGATTCTTGAAAGACAGGTTTGGGTCTTTTTTTTGGTGATTTATAGGTTGTGATTTGATGATTTCTTTGTTGGTTAATTGGATGGATTTGGAGGCTTTTGGGCTGAGGTTTTATCCTAGTTTCGAAAGGTTTAATTACAGGTTTTAGGTTTGTTTTATGGGCTGAAATGACTGTAATTTTGAGGGCTTTTAAATGCATCCTTTGACCCTATTTTGGCAAGGTTTTGAGTTGAAATTTGACCCTGTTTTTGGCGAGATTTTGGGCTCGGTATGGCTCTTTAAGGCTGGATCTTTATTGAAAAATTTTCTCTGTTTATTAGCTTATTTGAAGGGCTCGATCTTAGCTTCTTCTAGGCTGAATTTAGTTGAAAGTTTTACATTAGTTTTAGCCCATTTGGTGGGCTCGGTTTGGCTCTTTCGGGACTGAACTTATAATGGAATTTTTGGCCCTGTTTTGACTCATTTGTTGGGTTCGGTTTTGGTTCTTTTGAGATGAAATTATGTAGGAAATTAATCTCCGTTTTTGGCTCATTTGATGATCTTGGTTTTAGATCTTTTGGAATGGGTAAATGTTGAATGTTATTTTTCTTGGCTTGCCCCTGTGCTGGGCTCGGTTTGCCCATTTTCTGGACTCGGTTTGGGCTCCTTTTGGTGATTTATGTTGGCTGAAATCCCTTACTGTTTGGACCATTTCTTGGACTTGGTTTGCCCCCTGTGTTGGACTCGGTTTGCCCCTTTCTTGGGCTCGGTTTGGGCTCCTTTTTAGTGACCTTATGTTGGCTGAAATCCTTTGTTGTTATGGAACATTCCTTGGGCTTGGTTTGCCCATGTGCTAGACTCGGTTTGCCCTTTTCCTGGATTCGGTTTGGGCTCTATTTTTTATGATTTATATTGTATGAAGTCTCTTATTGTTTTGGAATATTTCTGGGTTTGGTTTGCCCTTGTATTGAGCTCAGGTTGCTCTTTTTCTGGGTTTGGTTCGG